ATATCACATATATATATATATATATATATATATACATACAATATAAGACATTACAATACAATTCAAGACAAGATGGGAAGGAGGGCCCTGCCCGTGAGGGTTTACAATCTAAAGGGTGGGATATTGGAGTAGGAAACATGAACAAATGACTCTGTGTCTCATGGGAGACCAACACCTCTAGTATCTGCCCCAAGCTCTGGTAATAAGTTCTGATCAAACAGATAAAAGGACATAACTGGAAACTCCAAATTGTTGCCTCACTGGAAGTAATGAGATTACCCAACATGTACTAGATTGGTGAAAGTAAGGTTCTTAGATTGGTTTTGGAACAGGTTGTTTCCTCCATATACTGAATGGAGGCCACCAAGAGTCATGAATAACATACGTAAGTGAAAAGGTTTCAGGAGGATATTGGATATCTGAAATAAGGGCTCTACAGCATAGAAAGATATTTAAAATAATTGTACACGGTCAGCCTTGTGGCAGCAGTTTGGGTAAGACCCTTTTCTGATCCAAAATGACTGTACTCTAGTCCACAGTGCCAGCTCCATAAAGACATTGTTTGACCAGTTGGGTGTGAGGGAACTCGAGTGGCCTGCACTTCAGTTCTGATGATCACCTTTGGGAAGAACTGGAATGCCAATTGCTAGCCAAGTCTTCTCCTCCAACATCTGTACCAGAAATCACAAATGTTATGTTGGTTAAAAGGGCAAAGATTCCCACAGACACACACCAAAATCTTGTAGAGGAGGCTAATGTGCTCTGATAGAACAGATGAAGGAACATAATTGGGAGCTCTAAATTGCTGCCTCACAAGACGTAATGAGATTACCTGACATGTACTACATAGGTAATGGTAAGCTCATCTGCGGGTCTTAGATTAGTTTTGGAACAACTCGTTTCTCTCCTCTCTTCTCTCTGTATGGAGGCCACCAAGAGTCATGAATAATGCGAGTATGTGAAAAGGTTTCAGGAGGATATTGGATAACCGAGATAAGAGTGTGATTGTAAGAAGAGACAATTTCTGCATGCAGCTGACCTCCTGTTCAGTGAACCTCTTGAAACACTTCAAGCACATAACTGTCAGCCTCTCCCCAGTCCTAAATAGCTTCTAATAAAACAGTAGGGTGCTCCCCAGTGCTCAGGAATTGTTAGTAGAATGATCTCAGTGTGGGAACATTTCTAGTCAATTCGTTTGGAGTTTGAAGCTTATACAATCGTGATGGTTTATATCTTGTCCATTTTGTTATGTCTGACACTGATATATTTCCCCACATGTCGCACTCAGATCTTGACAACTGAAAAAGAGAGGTTACACAATAGTTATGAGCAATGAAATGGCTCCACAGACCAGATGTCATGCCATGAAACTTTGATAACTCTACAGATAATTGTACGCACCTACATGCTTACGAGCAGGATAAGACTCTTTGCTTAATTCTTCCCTGGGTGCATGCCAAGTTGCAGCTTGTTTTTTGCGGACCCTCTGACAACAACATCCTGGTTTTGAGAACTTTCCTAACTTAGTAACACGAAAGCCTTTTGTTTATGATTTGTAAAGTCACTCTTTACGTCACTGTGTCTGTGCACTTCTCTCTTCTTTTCTTCTGAAATTCCCTTAATTAGGTCTAATTACAAAGCATCTGGGCAATTGTTATTTAAATGGGTACACATGGGCAAAGCCTAACTGTGTTCTTAATCTTTTATCCTGTCATTCTTATTTCTTTTATAGTGACCTTTCTTTTCTCGTTAAATGTCTTGACAAGTTAGACCGTATTTAATCAGCTGCTATACGTAAGTTGCTGCACCTTGCACTGATTCGCCCTGCAAATTACAGCTGGGTTGAGCCAGCCGTGATCTCACGGCTGGCTCCGCCCAGTTGTAATGACAGGTCAGCGTCCTGGGGACGCTGATCTGTCATTAAACAAAAGCAACTGGGCGGAGCCGGCCATGACATCAGGGCCAGCTCCGCCCAGTTCATTGGCCGGGACCTACTAGAAGACCCTATCAGGTGCCGGCAGATAGGAAACAGTTGGGCGGAGCTAGCTCTGCCCAATTTGTGTTTTTTTAATGTATTTTTCTTTTTTATATATATTTATTTTAATTTGCTATCTTTTAACTTTGGGGTACCGAGCAGAATAGCCGAGCCAAATGCTGCTCGGCGGCATTCAGCTATTCACTCACTGCCGTTCGGCCCCTATGAGAATAGGGGCAAACGGCAGCAAGTGAGCTGCCGAAGCTTCGGCCCGGCCAATCCAGATGTTGGATCGGCTGAGTCGAAGTCCCTCTGCACTTCGGCTCAGCCGAACATGCAGAGTATGTTCAGCAGACCGAAGCCGGACGATGTACGGCTGAAATAAGCCTTACTGAGCTGGAGTGAATAGCCGAACATGCTCACTTTACTTCGGCTGGGTTATTCACCTTCGGCAGCTTTGTGGGTAACCCCCTATTGTGATTTTGAGTATTAGGCAGTGTTCTAGCTATTGTATGAAAGGAAGGAAAAAGAAGGTTATATATTTTAACCACTAGTGATATTCTGTGAAGGAAACAAGGACACAAGGCAAATCAATCCCACTGGGACACAGAGAGCCAAAAAAAACATCAAGAGTTTAAACCAGCCTTTCTCAACTTGTTTAGCATGGAGGAACCCTTGAAACAACTTCAGGTCTCAGGGAACCCTGACAATAATTTCTATATATACATGTCACAGTACCACATCCTGGTGGTCAGTGGGAAGAATGCTTCTTACATTGTTGGTCTGTGGGAAGAATGTCCGCCTTGCAGATTGCTAAAAAGATAGGTGTCCCAGTGATTACTTACCCAAGAGGCAGAAATTGCTCAAGGAACCCTTGGCAACCTTTGGGGGAACTCTAGAGTTTCACAGAACCCTGGTTGAGAAAGCTGGTTTAAACTATTCCATACTGTTAAAAATTGAGGACATGTTTTGGCTATAGGCACAAAATAACAGATTATGTTCAAGTGTTGCCAGGCAAGGTTCCTGATAATGCTGCAGCATAAAAAGACATTTTAGATAACTGTACACTTCCAACCTTGTGATATCAGTTTGGGGAAGATCCTTTTCTGACTGTACTCCAATACACAGTCAGCTTCATTAAGAAATTGTTTAACTTGTTTAATGTATAGCAACTCCAACGGTCTGCACAGAGCCTTGGCCTCAGTCCTGTTGATCACCTTTGTGAAGAACTGGAATCCTTACTGTGAGCCAGTTCTTCTCATCCTACATCAGTACCTGACTTCAGGAATGCTATTGTGGTTGAATGGGCAAACATTCACACACACACACTCCAAAATCGTGTGGAAAGCCTTCCCAAAAAAGGGCAGGCCGCAAAGAGGGGCCCATGGTTCTGGAATGGGATGTCCAACAAACTCATATACGTGTGATGGTCAGCTGTCCACAAAGTCCACCATATAGTGCTTAGTTCTGCATTTTGCAACATAAAACAATTTAAATGGGGCTTTTAAGGTGTCGCACACAGACTTAACGGGACATACATACATATATAAATATATATATATGTTGCATTTTCTCATTTGAAGAATGGACTTCTGGTTCTATGTGATGGATCAGTTGGTTGGATATATATGTAGGGCCCGTATGCCTGAAATAATCAATGACACACTTGACATTCCTTTCTATGATTGCTTTGCATTTAGTTAGATTCTGCAGCAAGTGTTCAGTTATCAGTGTGGTTTCTTCTGTGTGTGCGCCGCTCTTAACTCTCAGGCTTCATTCACACAAGGCTTTCATGACCGGAGGCGGATTCCTGCAGCAAAAATTGCACATTGTTGAGTCAGGAATCGCAGGTGGCTCCAGAGAGCTGTCACCAGCTCCAGAGAGCTTCCCTCTGCAAAATTCTGGCTTCCAGCATAAAAGCTTCGTGCAAATGAGGCCTTAAATAAATATATATATTAATAAACATATTAAACCTATATTGACATTTTTGTGTACAGCAAACTGACATGTAAAGTTTTAGAATGTTTAGATTAACCATTAACTCCTGCGTTCTGTTTGCTTTCTATCCAGGGCAGATGTTAAGACGGAATGTTCCCTCTCTGGAGTGCCAGTCTTGCTTGCTGTTTAGAAAGATGAAGTTCCAGAGGAGAGATCTTTAGGGTCGTTATCTGTTTTCTGTGCCAGTCAGAAGAAGCGCAGAGACAAATGAAACGGGTGAAATGGAAAAGAAGCAGCTCTCTGTAGATGATGACCTGTTACCTATTTATTATGTTCACTCTGGGGTAGAAGATAAAACATTTTCTAGAGTGTGTCAGGGACATGAAGCCTCTGTACCATCTCCGCACTTTAACCATTTTCCATCATTTAATGAGAACTGTTTGCCCCCAGGTCCATCTAGGACTGAGAGGTCTGTGCTAAATAACTATGATTATGAAGGGCAAAAGGAAGTCAACAGTGTTGGTTTCACTCCAGGTACGAATGTTGAGGACTGTTGTGCAAGCAATGCCTATTCCAAAGTTCCGATGGTCTCCGATTTTCACCAATCTCATAAAGCCACCAATATGAGGACCCAGGTCAGTAGCACATCAAAGTGCACCACTGCTCAGGACGTTTTCTTAGCCAGCTTACTTCAGGTTCAGCTTTGTGTCATGGATCTCCAAGATCAGATTGAAATGACAGAGACCAATCACAAAGCCAGGGACATTGGACTTAAGATGAGCACACCTATGGGGCAAAAGATGAGCCTACCTTCTGTCCTGGAGCCTGAAATAAGACCCACTTGCATTGAGGACGTTGTACGGAATCCGGAACCTCCATGTGTGGATGAGGACCAAGAGAGCGATGATACTGCTTACTCTGAATTGGAAGTAGAAGAGCGCTTGTTTTGCGATAACCCTTTATTTAAGAACTCGAAAGGGCCGCGTAATGTGGATTATAATGTACAGACTTCCATCACTGAACTGACCAGCCAACATAAACCAGCTCCCATGGACAGGATAGTAAATGAGGGAAGCCAGCTGCTAAAACAGAACGCATGGGATAGTAAAGACATGGGTACTGGAACGGTTGTATGGCATCGAATAATACGGGAGGAGTCTCTGGAGGAGCTCCAGATATATGAAGATGAGTGGGAGGAGAAGAGGTCCATGCTCTGCAATACAGGGACCTCTGGATGGCCTGTTTCTAACAACTTGCCTGGTACCCAAACGGTAGGTGAATTTTGAAGTTAACATGTTTGTCCAACCAAAGTTATTTTTTATTTAGTCTTGGATAGAGTAGGGATTGATTTAGAATTTTGTTAGGGGTTTTACTCCCACACGGGGCTCTGTTAGAGAGCATTTCCATTATTACTGTCTTGATGACAGTGGCATGACAGGACAGGATGTGAGGGACAATGTCCACCAAAAATGTATATATTTTTCAGTAACGTAGGAAGAGGCTAGAACCCCGGTCAGATTTTTAATGCTGTCTGTGTCTCAATTCCTGTCTGGTCAAACCGTTGTCACCGTGGCAGTAGATAGGGGGAATCATTCTAACAGAGGAGATGTATGTTGACAAATGATCGTATGGTCCACATTGGTGAGCCTTTTCAAGCACGAAAAACATAATATAGCTTGTCGGGAAAAAAAATTATATTCTAAATTCTTCACATGGCAATACAATTATGTAAAAGTGGAGTGTTGCACATTGCTACCACAACAGGCCTGCCATACTTATTCAGACCATCACTAGAAAAACAGGCAATAGGAATCAGTAACTGCCATTGTGTTAAAATCAGTTAACTGCAAAAAAAGTGGAAAACCCGCCATAACCTTGCCCATGATTACTGCTGAGGTCTTAAAACCATGATCTTCTACCCTTAACTTCCTAGACCAGCGATGGCGAACCTTTTTGAGCCCGAGTGCTCAAACTGGATCCCTAAACCAACATACGTGTCTCAAAGTGCCAACCCTGCACTTCGACCCAAATACTGATGATTTCTTTTACCTATCTAGAGGCAGAGCTAGCTGTGCCCGCCCCCTCCCCGTCCATTCCTCCAGCCAGCACTGGAGGATCAGGGAGCGGTGACTGACAGTCACCGTTCTCTACAGGGAGATGATCGGGAAGTGAATGGATTGGTGGTATGTGTTTGCTCACTTCCCGATCAATAGAGCCAACCTAGTCTCCCTACCTTATGAGTACTGGAGTGGATCCTTAGCCTGGAGTCCGGTGTGGGCTGCTATGCTGTGACGGAGCTCCATCCATATATGCATTGCTTGTACAGCTTCCTTGGGCGCCCTGTAGAGCTGCCGGGAGCCAGAATTTGGCATCACTTCGGGCCAGACACCTCTATAGGGCACGTGATGGGGCTGTAAGCAATGCATGTATGGATGGAGCTCCCAGCCCACCTCACCGCAATTCACACTCGGCACCGGGTAGCATATTTTGAGTTGCTGCTCAGCGCGAGAACTGACAGTGCTGTGCTAGAGGGAGTCTGAGGAGTCTCTCACCTAGCGCAGTGGAAGGCATGCGGCAAACCTCTGAACATGGGGTTGCGACCCACATTTGGGTCAATACCCACCAGTTGAGAACCACGGGTCTAAACATTCCCTACTATACCCAACAGTAAATACCAAAAACATTGCTTCTACTTTTAATACATTAATCTTGCAGTAAGGTATCATTTGTGAAAGAAGCAAATATGTAAAATGTAGATACCGTATATACTTGAGTATAAGCCGTCCCGCATTTAAGCCGAGGTACCTAATTTTACCACAAAATTCCTGCCAGATGACCCCGCTCGGAGCGCCGCCCACCGGAGCAGCAGTGACTCGACGCTCGGCGAGGTAAGAAAGAAGAAACCTGACCACTGGACCACGCTGACTCGAGTATAAGCCGAGGGGGGCACTTTTCAGCAAAAAAAATGGGCTGAAAAACTCGGCATATACTCGAGTATATACGGTAAGTTGACTTTTAAACAATAAGGCAGAGATAGGCAACGTCGGACTCCATCTGTTATGGGAACTACAAGTCCTATGAGACATTGCAAGACTCTGACAGTCATAGGCATGCCTCCCAGAGGCAGAAGCATGATAACATTTTAGTTTCACCACAAATGAAGTGGCCAGTTTGCCTATCCCTGCAAATAAGGTCAGACAATTGTATGAGTTGGTCTTATGCCAACCAGTTGATACAACTGCCAGCTTCATATGACTTGACATTACAGCTGCCTCTTTCCTCACTACTAAGTGTATTATCATGCTTATCAAGCGAGTTAATTGGGCTTATCTCTCGAGCCTACCCTCGCATTGAAGGGAGGAGTTCTGCCTACCTCTTATGTTATTAAAAAAATGGTAGAAATGGGAGACCGGGGAACTTTACCAAGTTATAATTCTCTTGAAGAGTGTGAGAGGTAAGTAGCCAACAGGTACATAAACTCCCTGGTGACATGTCAAATGCCAGTTTTGAGTTGTCTTCATGTTTGTTCTTTTAAGAGACTGATTTTGTAAGCTGCTGTACCCCATGTCCTGTAGCACAAAATGTGTCCTGTTTTTTGCAATAAATATTGATTCCAAGTGCCTCAGATCATTTGAAGGAACTAATGGTAGCTCATGACAAATAGAACTTTGTACAACTGGAAAAGCTTACATAGACAAGGTCTAAAATTATTTAATATTCAGGAGAACACAACCAGAGGAGCTGGAATATGGAAAGGACTTTGGGAACGTCCATAACTGTCAGGTGGCCAGGCACAGTTGGGAATGATGGCAGGGAGGTCTTGTTTTTTTTTAAAGTAATCTCTGAATTGGTGCTGACATTGTCCTTCCTTCTGAAGGGTGGCTACTTTTGTTCCCCATGGACCCTGTGTGTGTTGTAAAGTAGTCACCTCTCCAAGATCACTCCGTGATGGACTACAATTCCAATGCAAATTACTAAACCTGAGATTGTAGTCCATCACAGGAGAGAGCTTGGAGCGGTGACTACTATACAACACACAGGGACCATGAGGAACAAAGGTAGTCACCCTCCAGAAGGAAGGACAGTGTCAGCACCAATTCAGAGATGATTTGAGGATTTACAGCCGAGTGATACACAAATCAGATACATTTTTGTCATTAGTTAAGGTACTTGAATTCAGTTTCAAAATTTAACTTCTGAGTTTAGTGTCACTTTAAATATCCAAGACATACAAGAAACTAGGGGGCTGACTTGCCCAATGAGCTTCACCTATAACTAAGGTATCTGTTTGGGTCAATGAACTGTTTAAAACTTCTGACTGACAGCTCCTCCATTTGGATCGTAGGATTAGCAAGCTGTTCGATAGTTATTCTGAGCTGACTGAAAACATACCTACACGTCACTGATTGCAGAGCATTGTTGCTGTTTCTGAAAAATAGGATTTTGTTCTTACCGTAAAATCCTTTTCTCGGAGTTCATTGAAGGACACCGCTCTAAAGAATTCTGAGATGTAGGGTTATGCTGCTGCCTTTAGGGGATTTCTCCTAGAGGCCGCCGCATAACCCTACATCTCGAATTATCCAGAGCTGTGTCCCTCAATGGACAATGGAGAAATGATGTCAGACCTTCAATAAAGGAATTTCTGGAGATCATTAAAAGCAATCGGAAGTGCACATATCCATATGTTGCATAATAGCAATGTTTGCCTAATAATTCTGTAACCTGTATAGTATTTTAATACTCACCACTTCTCTTTTAGAATCCCCTGTGCCTGACAGACCCTCCAGCTCAAATAGCCGTGGTCAGCTCTCTCCCTAATATACCAGTAACCTGTGAGTATCAATTTCCTTATTACAAAGTTGCCATGAAATCCTTGGTCAGTCATGCTGGAGCTTGAAGCAAACTGTGCTTTGCCAATTCACCTTAAAATTAAGCTGTGCCCAAAAAATGCAGGCAGGGGGGCACAGGACCAGCCACCAGTATTTCCTGCAGATGATTTTTCTCCATTACTGGCTTACCATGCTTTATTCTGCACTGTATCTCTCTGTGAAGGTGGCCATCTTGGTAGAGGCAGGGCTTTGCTTCCTCATGTCAGAGCTTTCAGCAAAACAGTGACATCACAAAGTCACACTCCAAATCTCCTGAGAGGCTTGCCACTATGGCTAATCTATAAATCTCCAAAATTGAAGTCTAGCCTTGCCATTTTCCCACACTTGTAGCAAGTCGCTTCCTGTATTGAAGCTGTCAATTCCCTCCAAAATTGCATCTCCACAATGTAACCCCTTGAAGGTGCAGCAGCTATATTGAGCCCACTGTCATCTCCTATCTGAACGATCTCCATCTCATTCATCAATCACTTCTCCCCCTGATCCGTTCTGTCATTCCCCTTCCTCACTGATATTCGCTTTCTTTTCCATTAAAAATGTTATTCTCAAGCTTTATGTGAAATCACACATCCCTGGCATCCCTTTTAGATGTGCCTGCAGCCATTCAGCTCAATTCTGCAGCACCCAGTGGCAAGCAGGGAGAAGCGGGCACATCTAAAGGGATCCCAGGGATGTGTTCTTTCAGATCATTCTTTTAAAAAGAGAAAGAGATCAGAGGCAGAAAGCTGAGACGTATTGCTTGAAAACAAAATGGTTTGATTAACACATTTTAATTACATCTTGAAAAATATGGACGCGCAAGCATGCAAAAATATCAGTCACATCAAAAGTTACTTTAAAGGTGAACTCCAGGCAGATAAAAGATACAAATTAATACAGCTCTATATTCATTCATCCTTCATTTAATGTGTTCTGTAAGTGATGTAAGTACCTGATTTGGCATCAGCCTCTTGGAGTGCTCCCATACAGCAAAACTCTGACTGAGAGGGGGACGGGGGGGCTCAAGGAGCTGTGCTACATGATAATAGGAGAAGAGAGCAGAGTGACAGAGAGAGGAGCTCTTTCATCTGCGGCTTCTTTTTTCCCTGTCCAGTTATAGGTTGGGGAGTAGACCACTAGAAACAGCCAGCATGTACAGCTTGGTGCTGCGTGCACAGCCGTATCGGGCAGCTCCCGGGAAGGACAGGTGCTGCGTGTGATTAGTACGCAGCCCCCGTCCTTCTCTATGGGACTACGCGGCCATACGCCCCCTCCCTACGCTCACCTCAAGTGCAGGTCCGTAGGGGTGCGTGTTTCCTGGCTCGGACGCAGATAGGATCCATCTTGTCACCATACGAGTACGCTCAGCCGCACCCGCACGGACAAATCCTTTGACTGGCTCCTATATACTTATTTCTCTGTATTTAGCTGTTTGCCCAAAGTTTACAACTCTGCATATGCACTGGCTATAAATTATTCTATGCTTTACTTTTACCAGAACTTTGGAAAATCCTATAGGCATTCAGTAAGATACTGAAAAGTAATATAATGCCCAGTTTTATTTAAATTGCACTAGAGCTGCAGCTAACGATTTGCGGGCGGGTCTGGCAGCGGCGAGCGTGAGGTGGGGAGGAGGTGTGGCGTGCAGCGTGTGTGGAGCCGTGAAGAGGGCCAACCAATCAGAAGCCGATTAATCGATGATTGAAAAAGTTGACAACTTTTTCAATAATCTATTATAATCGATTATGTCGATTAGTTGTTGCAGCCCTACTGGATTCCCTTTTTATATCTCCCATTATAAGGTGTGGTTCCAGTTATTATGGTATTTTCTTTTCCAGTATGGTATGTGCATACTGGTTGAATTCTTCTTGTACTTCTAATTTGTACAACAAATATTTTTATAACTAGGAATAGAGATTCATGGAAGTATTTCCTAAAGCATTGGAATGTTTGATTGCATTATGACTCACAGACATATGAATGTGTAGCTATGGGAACCTTAAATAGCATAGAATTGATGACTAAGGCCAACACAAGCTAGACCTCAAATAGTTCAGTTTATGTTCTTTTTTAATTAAGCACAGCCCCTTCCCATGATGAATGAGGCTTTTATGGGTATACTATGTATGAATGAGGCTGTTATGCAGGCATTAAAGTTGAACTGAATGCAAAAAGTGAAGTTTTGCTGTGTTATTGGGAACATTTAGGGGGTTATTCACGTAGAGCTTCGGCTGATCCTTCGGCTCTCTTCGGCCCCCGGAGCTCTTCGGTTAAGTCGAACGGAAGGGTTGCTGTAAGGGCTATTCACTATAGCCCGTACATCAGCCGAAGGTGGCCGAGCTGAAGGCATATGCTTCGGCTCGACTGAACAGAAGTGACACCCAAAGCGGGGCAAACGGCCTGCCGTAAGCCCCACATATGACAGCTGGGCGGAGCCATTCATGATGTCACGGCTGGTTCCGCCCAGTTGTAATGACAGATCAGCGTCCCCAAATGTCCTGGGGACGCTGAGCTGTCATTAAACAATAACAACTGGGCGGAGCCGGCCGTGACGTCATGGCCGGCTCTGCCCAGTTGTTCATTGGCCGGGACCTGCTAAAAGACTCTAGCAGGTGCCGGGCAATAGGAAACAGTTGGGCGGAGCTAGCTCCGTCCAATTGTTGTTTTTTTTCTTTTTAATTTAAATTAAATCTTAACCTTTTTTTTTCTACTATTTTCTATTCTGCTCGGTACCACAGAGAACACTAGAACACTGGCTTCGTAGGGAATCAAGAAGCCTGGTGACGGGTCATGATCCGCCTGAAATCGTCTCACTTCAGCTGGGTTATTCACTCAGCAGCTTTGTGAATAACCTCCTTAGAAGTGTTAATTGTACCTTAGCAATACCCTAAAAAAACTCATGTACATATAGCCTCATAGCTGTATATCTGCTGCAATGCGGCCTCTCTGACTGACCTCTCAGGAAATTTGGAGGGAGATTTGGTGATGTGACTGCTGTGTTGCTCATTGTTCTCCTTGCTGGAGGCTCTGCCATGAGGAAGCAAAGCCCAGCCTCTACCAAGATGGCCACCTCCACACAGAGACACAGTCCAGGACGAGACAAGGTAGGTCATTAATGGAGTAATGTTGCATCTCTCTAAATGGAGACCACAACAGGGAGACCACAGGCAGTATTGGTGCCTAGCCTGCCTTTCCCTCTGCCTGTTTTTTTGGGAACAGCTTTCAGCGTTCAGTTCTTCTTTAAAGCTGAAGTGTAGTGTACACATTTAATACCTTCCTTAGTCTCTCCCTGCTTCCCCCAATCAACATGGAACTACATTTTTTTCAATCGAATAATTTTCTTTTTCAAGGATGCCCATCTTGAGACCCATAATCGTGGATAATGCAGAGAATGTTGCTGATTTGATGATACTCACACCACTCTCTGCATCATTACACTGTGAGCGTAGGGTGCCATGCTGAATGGTTTGTCAGTCTTCCAGACAGGTCACCGCTTGGTGTCAATAAACCTGGAAGACTGAGAATATCTTGTGTTGGATAATACATTGTTCATGGCACAGCATCCGACTGAAGATGGTTATTGCATCCAGATCTGCTATTCTAACCCTCCAAGGCTGCAGTTTGGTTTTAAGCAAAAAAACTGCAAAAATACCTCAAAACTGTTGCCCAATTATAATGCACAATTCATTCCTTTTGGTTGTATTTTAATATGATCCCTCTATGTCTTTTGGTAGCTCCTTGCAAAGAAGAGCCTGGGGAGGAAGCAGGTTTGCTGTTTTCTGATTCAAGCTACTGGACAAAATATTTAATACCAGACGAGCAACCTGAGCACCAAGTTCCAACCCCATCAACTTCCTATAACCAAGAATCCACTCCACCACCTCGAGAGGAGCCCAGAGAGAAGATCCTGCTCAACCTATGCCAGGGTGAAGGCAATACACCATATCAGGAGATACCTAGAGAAGAGAAACCACTTGATCCGTTCCAGGGTGAAGGCACTCTACCACCTCAGAAAGAGCCCAAAGAAGATATCCTGCTTGACCCATTCCAGGGTGAAGGCACTCTACCGCCTCAGAAAGAGCCCAAAGAAGATATCCTGCTTGACCCATTCCAGGGTGAAGGCACTCTACCACCTCGGAAAGAGCCCAAAGAAGATATCCTGCTTGACCAATTCCAGGGTGAAGGCGCTCTACCACCTCGGGAGTTGCCCAGAGGAGAGATCCTGCTTGACCTATGCCAGGGTGAAGGCACTCCACCACCTCGGGAGTTGCCCAGAGGAGAGATCCTGCTTGACCTATGCCAGGGTGAAGGCACTCATCCTATGTGCCAGGGTTGTCAGGGCAAGGAACATGGAAGCAAAGTATTACCATCGGAGAGTGCAAGTGAGGCATTACCATGTAAACAGCAACAAGATACTCCTGCGATCATCATAGAGCAATTAGATGACGTGTCCACAGATTTAGAGACTTCTGGGTAAGCTATGTAACATTGGAGTAGTACATATATGTAATCTGGTAGAGCGTGGTTATTTAACATGTTTATAGGCATGTACAAGATGATTTGTCCTTCCATCTTCAGTGAGGAAGCACTACATTTATAATACAGCTTGTATGTAGTATCAGAGGCATAGCTCTACTGCTCTGGGCTTTGATGGGAAATTTAAAACAGGGTCTCATGACATCTAGTTTTAAAGCTGATTTCCAGGCAGATATAAAAAAACGCCACCAATAATCATTACATTTATATTTTAAATGCATCTAGTGCACATACTAATTGCCAGTTTAGCTCTGTGGCATGCATATGTGCTGACATAGAGCCTGTTAATAGGAAGTGAAAGCAGAGGGATGACCTCATCAATCTGCTGCTGCGCCTTAATGTCTAATAGCTTTCATAGCTCCATCCTAGTGGGTTATGATAGGCCAAACTCCCAACACTTCGGGGTAATCATAAGATGTCTCTATTAGTGCAGCTACTGCAAACGTGTGCACTAGCACAAGCGCCTTGGTGTCTTGAAAGCTAGAATCTGGATTCTATTCAGCCAAAATGATATCATTTCGCTCTACATTTTCCTGCTTTTACCAATGGGAGACAGACCAACATTCTACCACCACAATCATTCTTGAACCATGGCCAGTGCTGGGACACACAACATATCTATGGCCTGCATAGGGTTACCATTTTTGCAATGCTCTCTGTTAAATTGTCACTGATTTTTCTCTTGGCAGTTCTGAGGAAGTGACCTATGTAGAAGCTGTGGCCAACGCTCAGGATGTGGAGGCAGCTCGGTGTTTGGCAATGAAGCTCTTCCACCTTGATGGCTTTGACAGATCTCAGGTTGCTCCTTATCTTCAGAAAAAGTAAGTATAAACCAGCCAGCAAAAGGAACATTGTCATAATAAGCCCTTCTCAGCATTATGACTTGTGTACACGGGCATTGTTATCAGACACTGGCTTTTACAATTGAATGCAGATCAGCTCAAACACACATTTGGGTGCAGAAGGGCTGCGTTTCACCTGCTTTGCTTGCATAGCAAATGCATCTCCAGAGAAATGCAATGCATAGCAAGTCAATGCATAGCAAGCGCTGCATCCAGAGAAATGCAATGCATAGCAAGTCAATTTGTGAGATTTCTCCGCTACCAGACAAGACTGGTTTGACAAGTGTCAGGTAGATGAGTAAGTGAGGAGAAATCCCTCTAATGTGTTACAGTTCACATGGAGGGTTCATCACCAGTGCACCAGCTTGCCATAAACTTTTTTTTTTTTAATGGCATATAAAAAAGAGCGGCGTTTCAGAGCTACATAAGAACCCATCATCAAGTGCTAGTGATGAGATAGATTTCCCCTCCCCTCTATAAGTGACAGGTGTCAGATACAACAGGAAGAAAATGCATATCTCCTCCATGGGGACACAGACCTCATACAAACCGTGGCGACAGAAGGCTGCATCACATCCTACATAGCTGTTTATTTATCACGGCAGCATGCAGCCCATAATACCAGATGTCTGGTTTGGGATTTAAGGTTCTTAGTCATAACTATTTAAGTCGTAATTATGATTAACACTGTTAAACCCAAAATGAGTCATCTGGTATTGACACCTGTATGCTGAAGTTGTGAGGATAGAGCAGTTTTGGATATTGAGTTTGCTTTTTTTGTGATGTTCTTTGTTCTTTGGGCCTTGTTCACATGTGTGGCAAGATAGTGGTAAAACCAGGCAATTGATCTGCGATTTTGCTTCCCCCCCCAACCTCCTACTACGGTCAGACAGTGCTGTCTGTACACATTACCGCTACGCAGAACAAAAAATATGCAGCATGTTGCGTTGTTGGCACGCTTGCTGCGGTGTTGGCACTCTGGCCATATAGTGCTGTGTACCTGGCCACAACACGAAGCAAAGACTATACAGCTTGTTGGCAGGTGGTGGTGCTTGTCAAACGTGATTGTTGCAGTGAATGCAGTCGTGTGGCTGCACAGTATTGCATTAGAATATCTCCATTGGTATTAAAAAGAAACTGCATTCAGGAGGTGGCAGTATTACCTCCTGAACGCTGGGCAGCCACTGCTCTGCCACCCTTCAGAAAGCGACCACCGTGGATTGCTTGTCAGAGGGCGGTGGAAGCTGCCGCCCACAGGAACGAGGCCTTAATTGTGGATTCTGAATGTGCATTAGATCTTCCACGCAGTGCACAGACAGAGGACCATGTTAATGTCCTATCAGTCTACTGCAAGTCTCAAATTGTTTGTGTGTCCTATGCTCTGCACAAGTTCATAAGTATAAAGTGGACCTAAACCCAAAACCAAAAATGGAATAAGTTGCAGCTTACCAGTCCTTAGATGTGGTGGCTGCACCACATATAAGGACTTTTTCTTTTTTATCTTTAATTGGTGATCCTGCCAGGAACGCATTTCCCTTCCTAGGCCCACAACCCTCTTTCACTCCACTATATCTATAGAGGGAGCCATGGTAGTCATTGTAGGCTGTTCTCCTGATTTATTCTATTAACCCCTCCTCTGCTCCTCCTCTCCATTACATAGGGGAAGGCCTTTTTTTGCAGTTCACAGAAGGGATAACATTGTTTGATATATCAGTTCAGTGCACGGGAAGTTTCAAGGACACTAATTCGGCAGAATAAAAGTTATTTTATGTACTTAGCCTGAAAATTAAAAAAAAACTACATCTGAGGACTGGCAAGCTTATATTTAATTTTGGGTTTAGATCGCCTTCAATATTTCACGTTATTCTTTACTTCCCTTTAATTACAAGGGACCTAATACAAAACCACAAGATATCTTTAAGATGATAAGAATGATAAGAATGATGTTCCTGTGAAAATGCGGCTAAACTGATGGCAGTGGGTTTCCTGAAGTATTATGGTTTCACAGTGTACTGAGCCAGAAAAGGCCGGATACCGTGTTTCCCCGAAAATAAGAAACTGTCTTTATATTTTGTTTGGCTCAAAAAAACACACTAGGTCTTATTTTCGGGGTAGGTCTTATTTTTTTTTTTTTTTAATGTACAACAATCCACACTTATTCATGTACAACAGTCTACATGTATTCATGTACAAAAATATGGTGATCAGGGGTGCCGTACCTTTCCAAGAGCAATTTGGTAACCAATCGCTGGCCAGAATGAGTGAAGCGCGCTTTCACTATCGATTCCTCACAGGCGGAGTGCATTTGGTATCACTCCGCCTGTGACAGGAGCCGGCTCTATAGAGGAAGCATCGGCTTTAGCGGCTCTGCTCCCTCCGGTGCTGCCTCGCTTCCTCCAGCGCTGGCTTCGTTGGCACCGCTGATTCTCTCCCGCGGCTCTTCAAGTTCCCCCTTATGCCACCGGCCCTGGGAATGGTCACAACTAGGTCTTGTTTTTGGGGTAAGTCTTATATTTGAGCAATTCACATAAATAGTACTAGGTCTTATTTTCGGGGAAATACGGTAATAGCTGGTGAAGCTCTTCGTATGGTTTGTGATGAGTTTCCATTTTCTGGACTTCTGTGAGTTGATAATGAGCTCCTCCAGGAGTTTGAGGTGCTTGTTATCAGACAGATAAGGCCAAGTTGGCCTGACCAGTCACTGTTATTTATAGAATTTCTCGAGAATCGTGATGGCGTCAGTGCTGAGATGATTCACTAGATGGCAAGATAAGGCCTTCCTGTCCGTCATTCAATTGGAAACACCCGGCTGTCTATAACCACCATCCAAGACCAACACCTTTCAAAGCAGTCTTCAAAACTCGACTGTGTTCTCAGTGAGCGGTTCTCTGGCTTCCTGCCAACAAGTATGGAAGCAATGAGGCAGCAGAACTCAGAACTTTGGGCTCTCTAGAGCCTTGGTTCTCAACTGGTGGGTCATGACCCAAAAGTGGGTCGCAACCCTGTGTTCAGTGGGTCGCCGCATGCCTTCCACTTTTCTAGGTGAGAGGCTCCTCTGCCTTCCTCTAGCGCAGCACTGTCAGTTCTCGCACCGAGCAGCCATAAAAAATATGCTGCCCAGCACTGAATGTCAGCTTTAGGTGGGGTGGGGTGGGGCTTTGGCCGCGAGGGAGCTCCATCCATATGTGCATTGCTTACAGCTCCCTCACGTGTCCTGTAGAGGTGCCTGGACCGGAGTGACATCACATTCTGGCTCCCGGCACCTCTACAGGTAGTGCTCTACAAGTAATGCACACATTGGACCCCGGATGGAGCTCCGTCACAGCACAGCAGCCCACATTGGACCCCAGGCTGAGGATCCACTCCAGTTCTCACAAGGTAGGGAGACTGGTTGGACCCAAAAAAAAAAAACCCTAAGGAGAACTATGGGGAAAGGCCCTAACCCCATAGTTCTCCTTTAATGGCCAAGAACAAATCAGGATGAGATGTCCTCTATATCTGAATCTAGTGTCTCTAAATTGCAGTGTGTCATGTAACAAGCTGAGCTGAGACTTTTTTACTCTTGAACACTCCTACTTTGTTTATTCATTATTTATTTTGCTTGTTGTCTTTTTGTAGCAATGATTTTAGTGCCATGGTGGCTGAGGAGTACCTTGCCCTCTTTGACTTCAATGGGAAAAGCCTGGCTATAGCTCTCAGGTAAGAAGAAATATGGAATGGCCAGCTGAGCCTCCTAGAGGTGTTCACTGTATGTAGTATATTGATTTAGATTCAGATTCTAACAAGAATAACACTTAATGGGGGGGATGGGGGGCAATAGATGGTCAGCTCTGCTAGGACTTTTTGTGCTGTGCAGGGCTATTGACATGTAAGAAAGCCCTGCCATACTGTACTCAGAGTATACATGATCTGCAGCTCTGTAGTTTAGTGGTTAGCATTTCTGCCCTGCAACCTTCGCTCCTGGGTTCAAATAATGGCAAGGGCACTATCTGCATGGAGTTTGCATGTTTCCGTGTGCTTGCCTGAGTTTTCTCCACTCTCCAAAGACATTCTTGTAGGTAAATTAGCTCCTGTCTAAACTGACCCTCATGTGTGTACCTGTGAGATGGGGACCTTAGATTGGTTTCCTCCTTCACTACAAAGACATGCTGGTATGTTAAATGGCTCCTATCTAAATTAACACTAGTGTGTGTGTACATGTGAAATATGGACCTTAGATTGTAAGCTTCTTGAGGGCAGGGACTGATGTGATTGTGCTGTATGTAAAGCACTGCGAGAATTGTCGGCTCTATACAAAGGTCTGAGCTTTTCTGTTACCAATGTCTGGGTGTTACTTACACACTAGTGGTCAACAGATGAATTTGCATGTGCAGAGCCACAAAATCGACACAGATGGAGGAGTTTGGGGTCTGCTTTTGAATTCCTTTGATGCACTATCAAATCTGAGCCTTGACTGTACTTTGTAACATTTCAGATCTTTGCTGCAAGAACTGGTATTGACTGGGGAGACTCAGGAACGAGAGCGAGTGCTGTACCATTTCTCCAAACGCTTCCATAGCTGCAACCCCAAGGAGTACGGCTCTGCTGGTGAGAGACACATCAGTCTGGATTGAATTGATGCAGCAGCTGAAACGCAAAGTTGAAAGCTTTAGAGAATAAATGTCTCATGGTCTCTTTCAGATGCTGTTCATACTCTTACCTGCGCCCTCATGCTGCTTAATTCAGATCTACATGGCCAGGTAAGGTTTTCATTATTTTACAAAACTTCTAATGCCTTTTAGCCCAACTATGTAATTGGCACCCGCTACATTTGCTTTGACTGTGTCAGCAAAAAATCTATCCATCTGTTACTGCCAAATACAGTGGTGCCTCGGTTCACGAACTTAATTGGTTCCACGATTCTGGTTGCGAACCGAATTGGTTGCGAACCGAATCAAATTTCCTCATAAGGTTCAATGTAAATAAGGTTAATCCGTTCTGAACCATATGTAAATTAATTACCGCTCTGCACTTTCTTTGGAGCCATGCTGGATTGAATAATACTATACAGTACTGTATGTGCTAAAAGGCACAAATAAAAGCGTCACAGCAAGTGTGCACAGGTCTGTCTGCGACCGCGATCTCGACTAGAGGAAGCCACAACCACGTGTCAGAGCGGGAAAGATGGCCGTGGTTGTGTTTGTCACCCGATTTGGAGTTTGCGAACAGAAGCAAAGTTTTGCCGAACTTCCTGTTCACGAACAGAAGCGTTCGTGAACCGAGGTATTACTGTACTAGAAAAGCTTAGCATGTATTCTAAGTAAGTTTGCCTACCCCTTATTTACTCCTGATCTAGCCCTTTCCACCCCAACCTTACTTTGGCCCGCCTCTTTTATTCATTGGTTTTCAGTTCTTTTAATCATGGAGGCTCAATTCAGTTCAAAATGCAAATCCTGTGCATAATGGGGAAGCTAGGCATTCTGTCACCAGGGGCAAAGTCTCAGAGTCCGCCCCCCCAAGGGAGAAGTTCTCCATTAACACACCCAGTTCCGCCCCTCCTAAAGCGGCACCTGGTGCACATGTCCCCCCATCCCCCCCTAGCTTCGGCCCTGCCTGTGCAAGAAGAGCAATAGTCAGTTCATCGGAGCTCGTTTCAAATAATCACTTTATGAGCTATAATGAGCTGCCTATTGCTTGTTTGACAGGATTTGCATTCTGAACTGGATTGCTGCACTGAAATTTGCACTTTGATTTGAATTGCTGCACTAAGAGCTTTACTCCTCTTTTCTATGGAGTTTGCTTTCATCTATTATGTTGGGTACTTTATGAGCTCATATGGCTGTTGCTATTGCTGCACAGGATTTGCACTTTGAAGTGAATGGTTGCACTCCTTTGGGAGTTTTAAATGGACTTCTTACTTGTTTATGCACTTTATATTTGGGGGATTATATATTTTGCACTAAATGTTTTATTTTACTCTTTTTAGTGTTGTATCATATTTTGTATATAGGTTCAGCTGAGGTGAAGTGGTTAAAGAGGCTCTCTAGGGCCAAACAAAAATGTTTTCCACTTATAGAGGTGGGCTGTTCAGTGCTTTATAACTTTCAGCTCTTAAAATTCCACAAACCAAAGTGAAGTCTGAGATTAGTAATTCAGATTGGTTGTTGGGGGATGTGCTGCCATAGATACCTCTTTAGTTCTACAAGTATCTAAGCGGTGGAAGTGGAAGGTAATGTGCTGATACATAAGTGAAAACGGTATCATTCTGCAGAAGAGCGACAGCAAGACACCAGATAGGCCAGTTTTTCCAGGTCCTCTGGATTGGTAATATGCATTGCACCTGTTCTTGCAGAACATTGGGAAGAGCATGACAGCACAAGAATTCATCAATAACCTTGAGGGCATGAATGACGATGGTAATTTTACACGGGAGCTCCTGAAGGTATGTGTCTGTTTATGGCTTTCTTTTCGTGATATAAAAATAGTAGGCAGTAGAGTACCTCTGTCAATGAAGAGTGTTGTTCCAGAGTGTGTATAAATGGGTGGATAATAACACACCATATTACAGAAAGCAAATCGGGCCACAGGAAAGAATGTATGCATGCAACAAGTAAAATCAATCAGTGAACTTCTAATGCCATACAGGCAACACTGCAGCTTCACTCAGTTTAACTTTATCCGCCTTAAAGGAGAACTATGGGGTCAGGACTTTTCCCCATAGTTCTCCTTTGGGTTACGGGAGGACACAAACTAGCGTCCTCCTGTCACCCTAGGCTCAGTATACCGCGAGCTACAACTCGCGGTATACTGATACACCGGAGCGGATCCCGACATCGATGTCGAGATCCGCCCATCTGCGTGAGTGACAGCTGGCTCTGCCTATCTAGAGGCAGAGCCAGCTGTACCCTCCCCCGTCCGATCCGCCAGTCAGCGCTGGTGGATCGGAGCGGGGAGGGGGGAATCCAGCCCCTCCCCTGTCACGGCAGAGAGCCGTGACAGGATCGAGAGGGGAGCGAACGCCGGTATATGTTCGCTCACCTCCTGATCTACTGAGCCGACCTGTGACAGTCTCATTGTCACAGGTCGGCTAGAACTATGAGGTGAGTGAAAAGCACTCACCTCATAGTTCTCCTTTAAGCAGACTTTCTATAGTCACGCTTCTGGATAGAATCGTATGTCAGATGATTGACTACACAAGTGTGTCTTAGTCGGGGCTTATTGAGATGAGAGAATGGACATGCTCTCATTAGGGTGAACCTGTACACGTGCAATGGACATTGAAATATTAACATACTCTTAACAGGCCATAAAAGAGCTTTTAAAAGCAGTACTCACTGTTCTCTGTAGCTTTAGGCAATGTGGAGTAATTAATTCTTAAAGTTCACAACAGAGGCTCTAAAAATTGCAGTTCATCTTCCCTTGGACTTGGCAGCTTGCCAGCCTTCTAATGTCAGCTAACGGTGTGTGCTGACGGCTGTTCAGAAATGGACTTCAGAGTCTTTTTTTCTGACTCTGAGAATTACTCCACAGTGCGTTGAGCTTAAGTTCAGTCAAGGGTGTTTTAAAGCAGAGCTCAGAGCAAATCATGATGTGAAAAAAAGGAGATGGCAGCATGGGAGGGGACTTGTAATAAGAGAACGTTGCAAAAGATGACGACAGCATTGGTTCCATTGGCCTTGAAAGTATATAAATACAGCATACAAAAGTAAAGGGGGAAAAGACTGACGTTTTCATTGGGAGGGTGAAGTTCCCCTTTATCTTCCCCTATGTTAAAGGGGAACCCTATGTAGTGTGCCATATGTTTTGTTACTCTACTCTTACCATTTTAGCAGTCACATGATGCTTTATTCTGTTGTCTTTTTTTCTTTGTAGAGTCTGTACCACTCCATCCGGACAGAGAAGCTGGAATGGGCCATGTAAGTTAGGTTGAGCAATCTTTGCATTTTTCCACCATGTTATATATTATTCTCACCGAAATTTTACACTTATAGTATTTTTTACATTTTTGTTTCCAATGGTCATTTTGTCATAGTAACGCCATATTTATTTGCCATTTCCTTAACAGGAGTGAAGAGAAACTAGCGAACGTCCTCATTGCAAGGCCAGATAATCTTTTGTCTGTTCGGAAGAAGAGTAATCCTTTTGTGGATCTTCCAGCACCAGACCCGCAGGCCCCGGTCTACAAACAGGGAATGCTCTGCCGCAAAGTACATGCAGACATCGATGGCAAAAAGAGTGAGTATTGCCCCTCTGTGCCTGCTTTTGGCCATAACTCATATTCTCGCAGGCTCCCCTGATTAGTGTATATAGGAATTCAAATGTAGATCAGCCATTCTTAATCTTTGGTCTTCTTCCTGCTTTTGCTAAAAGCCAAACTCCAGGATTCTGAGGTTTCAATACCCACCTCCTTCCCAGCATTGTCACTCGTATACTCAGAGGCGTCCGTAGGCGGGGTGATACCTGGTGCGAGTACTGGGTGACACTACGCACATGACATCATCACACACAAGCGTGATGACGTCACGTGATGTACCGCTGTTACCAGCCGGCGGCCATCTTAGTTATGGACGCCAGCAGAGCGAGGAGGGGACCTTCACCCGGCAGGATAAGGTATGCCACCGGGTCCCCTCCTCTCTCAAGCAACTGTCGGCTCTCGGTCCATGACCGAGTGCCAGACTTTTCAGAGGGGGTGACACCAAAATGACTGTCAGTCATTTTGGTGTCACCCCCTCCGATGTTGTCACCCTGGTGCGAGCCGGATCCCTCCTTGTGACACCACTGCTTAAGCTTACTGCTTTATGGTCCAGCACTGGTCTTCTTCCAGGCCGAATGATGTCAAGGTTTATTCCACCCACGTCTGACACGTCCAAGCCATCATAGACACAACCCCTGGGGGTGCAACATCAAACCGTCCAGGGCCCATAGTACTGCTCCACAGAACCTTGACCACCATGACTACATGTAAGTCATTCTGTGGAGCAGTAAGGACCACTGACACCGGACAGGAAGAGGAAGGACCTGTGATGTTGTGTGACCGACCAGAAGACAGCTGGATTTAAATCTAAATTCCAGGATAAGCAAATCTTGTTTAAATACAGAAGGAATGTATATTCTTCCTTGAATCTTGGTGGGCTTTGTGTATTTCTTCCAGAGCTGTGCAGTAATCCAGTGTGAAACTTGAAGCTTCCTGTAATAAAGACCGCTCACTGCTGCTCTCCTTACTTGTGCATGGTGACTGGTCTTGCCTCCCCCTCCCGTAGTTTTCTGCATGCAGCCCGTAGGAGGTGGAGCCTGCTTGGTCCCTCCCACAACTCTGCTTTCTACACAGGCTATGTGACTCAAAGTAATGATGTCACGGCTACTTTTTCAATGTAATATCCAAGTTTGCTCAGGCATTTGATGCACACAAAGTGGATTCATATCCTTTTGTATCTATTAAGGAATTCATTTCAGTTAACATTTTGTGCCCGAAGTTCAGCTTTAAGCTATGTATAAAGTACTTTATTTTATAATTAGGTGGGAGGGGGGCACTTTAGAGAGGGAGAGGTGATGACTTTTAATTTGTTTTGCACATTCACACACTATTACAGGACCAGAGCATATGTATAAAGCTGAAGTTTACTGCGGTTGGTTACATATATAAAAGCTCGCCTTTATCATATTTTTACACCTAACATATTTGCTGTGACTTTATTTACTCAGAGTTCTATAAAGACATTTCCTTTCTCTGTTGCAATCAACCCCACAAATGTTTATTTTATTGGGTGTGATGGAGGACACACACACACAGTTTACAGGAAAACATGTATGCCGGAATCACCCCAACCTAATCGTAACTGTCAGTCATGCCCAGCGCAGTTTTGAGCAGCTTCATCTCTCTAGGGGCATGGGAAAATCTGCAGATCATGTTTTGTTTTGCTTTTTTTAATAACGGTCTCCAGATATTAAAAGTATGAGGAAGTTGTGTTTCGTAAAAAAAAAAAAAATCTGTGATTTGGGCTGAAAAAAGGAAGAAACGTTTTTGAAATCTGCTGAGGTTGGTCTCATATGCCTTGTAAGTGATCCTCAATTTTCACCATCATAACCAATCCGCTAAGCAAATGGGGAAGTTCCAGAAACTGTGGGCTTTCACGTTGTGAAAGCCCACAGCGGTTATAACCACGAATAGTAGTAATCACAAACGTATAGTACAGTTCTGGCCAAAAGATTTTGAGAATGACAATAATATTAATTTTCACAAAGTCTGCTGCTTCATTTTGTATGATGACAATTTGCATATACTCCAGAATGTGATGAAGAGTGATCAGATTAATTGCAAAGTCCCTCTTTGCCATGGCAATGAACATAATCTCCCCCAAAAAAACATTTCCACTGCATTTCAGCCCTGCCACAAAAAGACCAGCTGACATCATGTCAGTGATCCTCTCGATAACACAGGTGTCAGTGTTGACAAGGACAAGGCTGGAGATCACTCTGTCATGCTGATTGAGTTAGAATAGCAGACTGGAAGCTTTAAAAGGAGGGTGGTGCTTGAAATAATTGTTCTTCCTCTGTTAACCATGGTTACCTGCAAGGAAACACATGCAGTCATCATTGCTTTGCACAAAAAGGGATTCACAGGCAAGGATATTGCTGCTACTAAGATTGCACCTAAATCAACCATTTACCAGATCATGAAGACCTTCAAGGAGAGAGGTTCAATTGTTGTGAAGAAGACTTCAGGGCGCCCAAGGAAGTCCAGCAAGCGCCAGGACCATTTCCTAAAGTTGATTCAGCTGCTGGTTCGGGGCACCACCCATGCAGAGCTTGCACACACAGTGAGGCGAAGACTTTTTGAGGATGGCCTGGTGTCAAGAAGGGCAGGAAAAGTGGCTTCTCTCCAGGAAAAACATCCGGGACAGACTGATATTCTGCAAAAGGTACCGGGATTGGACTGGGGTAAAGTCGTTTTTTCTCTGATGAATCCCCTTTCCAATTGTTTGGGGGCCAAGGCATCCGGAAAATACCTTGTCCGGGGAATAAAAGGTGAGCGCTACCATCAGTCCTGTGTCATGCCAACAGTAAAGCATCCTGAGACCATTCATGTGGGGTTGCTTCTCAGCCAAGGGAGCGGGGCGCTTATTCACAATTTTGCCTAAGAACACAGCCATGAATAAAGCATGGTACAAAAACATCCTCCAAGAGCAACTTCTCCCAACCATTCAAGAACAGCTTGGTGATATACAATGCCTTTCCAGCATGATGGAGCACCTTGCCATAAGGCAAAAGTGATAACTAAGTGGCTTGGGGAACAAAACATCGACATTTTGGGTACATGGCAAGGAGACTCCCCAGACCTTAATCCCATTGAGAACTTGTGGTTAATCCTCTAGAGGCGTGTGAAGAAAAAACCCCCCACAAATTCTGACAAACTCCAAGCAATGATTATGCAAGAATGGGCTTCCATCAGTCAGGATGTGGCCCAGAGGTTGACTGACAGCATGTCAGGGCGAATTGCAAAGGTCTGGAATAAGAAGGGTCAGCACTGCAAATATTGACTCTTTGCATGAACTTAAAATAAATGTCAATAAAAGCCTCTGACACTTATGAAATGCTCATAATTATACTTCAGTATACCAGAGTTACATCTGACAAGAAGATCTTAAAAACAATGAAGCAGCAGACGTTGTGAAAATTTACGTTTGCGTCCTTCTCAAAAATTTTGGCCAGGACTGTATGTGTGCAGAGCAGCCATGCTGTGCAGGTGGTGATATATGGCCAATATGTGGACACCCATGCAAGTTATTAGGTTCTGGTATTTCTAGCAAAGCGGACTGTAAATGTTACAACGTTTCAATACATTTTAGACAAATGTGCCCTTCCAACCTTCTGGCAACAGTTTGAGGACGGCCCTTTTCTGTTCCATCATGGCTGTGCACAAAGCCAGCTCCATAAAGACATAGTTTGAGGAGTTTAGTATGGAGGAAGTAGAGTTGTCTGCTCAGAGCCCTGACCTCAACCTTACTGGACACCTTTGGGATGAAATTAAATGTCAATTGTAAGCCAGGTCTTCTCATCCAACACTAGTACCTGACCTCACAAATGCTCTTTGGCTGAATGGGCACAAATTGCCACAAACATACTCCAAAATCTTGTGGAAACCCTTCCCAGTACAGTGAAGGGTGTTAGTCACAAAAGAGGACCCAACTCCTTATTAATGCCCTTGGTTTGGAATCAGTTGTCCATCAAGCTCATTTTGGCTCGATGGTCAGGTGTCCACAAACGTTTGTCCCTATATTGTATACTGTAACAGATCGACATGTGGGAAATTGCAGTCTGTGGAGAGAAACAATTCACACTAATAGCAGCCAGTTATGAGCCACCATCTGGATTTCGTGTTATGGTCTGGGGTTGTTTCAGTTGATCAGGTCTAAATTTAGCAATGTTATGTCCCCAAAAAATGAGGCCAGCTGCCTATTTGAATACAATGCGAGATAAAATGCCAGGATTCATTCAGCTCAGATTGGGAAACGAGGGGTTCAGGGAGCATGAGACATAATTGTCACACATGGATTGGCCACCACAGAGTCCAGACCTGAACCCCATTGAGAATCTTTGGGATGTGCTGGAGAAGACTTTACACAGGGGTCCGACTCTCCCTTCATCAATACAAGATCTTGGTGAAAAATTATTACAACTCCGGATGGAAATAAATGTTGTGACATTGCATAAGCTTATGGAAACGATGCCACGGCGAATGTGTGCTGTAATCAAAGATAAAGGCGGCCCAATTAAATATTAGAGAATGTGACTTTTTATTGGGCCAGGTAATGTATAATTATAGCTAAAGTGCAGTGTCGCCTATATAAGTTCATTTTGTGGGCAAACACTACTGACCGTCGTTTTCTGTGGGTCCTCTGCAAAGGGATTGAAATGTTTCATAGAGTTATCTGTAAAAAAATAAGTCATGGCAACTTGACTTGCTGTATTTTTCTTGAAGATGTTTCACTGGTCATCCATCCAGCTTTCTCATTCTGAATTGAGAAAGCTGGTTGGATGACCAGTGAAAAATCTTAAAGAAAAATTACAGTAAGTTCAGTTGCCATGACTTATTTTTTACAGATATACCATGACCTGGATGAATGAGAACCTTCACAGACGTTTCATAGAGTTGACCTATGGAAATGAACATGTTGATGTACAAAACTAAATACACTTATGACAGCATGGTGTTTCATGTATTCTGGGTCACGTATATATTTTACACACATCGATTCTATAGACATGCTTTAATAATGGCTTTCACAACCATTTTAATTATAAGGCTCATCTTTATTTCTGCTTTCTAACTCTATTCTCTCTTCTTACTGCAGCTCCATGGGGAAAGAGACGCTGGAAGTCCTTCCACACTGCGCTGAAAGGGATGCTGCTCTTCTTTCTAAAGGTAAAATTGTGTTTAAGCAATAGGAACAGCTCCCCCAACTGGAGACCTGGAGAATTGCATTGATAAGAACTTGTTAACGTAACCCAGTCAACACAGTGTCACCTTTACTCATAGAATACCTAGGAAAAGATGAGGCTCTATACTACATTTTTACAGTTTGTAAAAACTCCACTGCTCCGCTTCTCCCCGGCCCCAGCAAGGCATTCAACACTTCAGGTTGGTCTAATACCTGTTACTTTCTGCCATACGCTGTGGTGTCTCCTGTTGGCATATACATTCTGTGCTGACATACAAGCCAACAGAAGGAACCGGAGTGTGTGGTGGGGAGGCAGGTAATCCACACTCCCAGAACTGTGGAATACCTGCTACGGCCATGAGAGAAGCACAGCAGCATCGTCTCAGCCAAGGGGCCTACGAAAAGGTAAGTAACTTTTACAGGGTGGTCTTTGAGTTAAAGTGACCGTGTGATGATAGGCCCACTTTAGAGAATATCATTGGTTTCTCTTGTCTGTCTTCTTTATTACATTTGCATTTTGTTTATTGCATGCACTTTGCCAGTCGGTCTATACATAAGACCAGCCTTGCTTCATGAGGATTCTGTTGAACCCTTGGCAGGGTTACTCCAGAGTTGACTAGGGGTCCTTGAGCAGTGGCGGACTGATCTCCTGCTTGATGGTGCCTGCTTAGTTCCAGCGCCATCACTCAGAGGAGTCAGTGGCCCAGTATAGTCTTTCCTCTCTTCTCTCAATGTAAGGGGGTTCAGATTGAAGGCAAGTATTGCAACAAAAGAAGATTTGGGGGTTTTTTTTAAAATCTTTTAATGGGGCATTCATTTTCTATGATTATTTATGACTGGTATTCTGCTTTATATGTGTCTGTATGACAGTCTGCTAAGTCCTTTGAAACCTTTGGCAGGATGAATACCGGGCCGACTTCCAGTTTCCCGAGGAGGTGATCAGCATCCATCATGCTCTAGCTGAGAGAGCCAGTGACTACACCAAGAAACCCAACGTTTTCCGTCTACAGACTGCTGATTGGCGGGTATTCCTCTTCCAGGCTCAGTGAGTAATATGTATCGCATTGTATGGTAACATCATTGCTTGAAGGTCACTATATTTAACTACCAGTTAGCTGACTGTTTCAAGCGGTTTTTTTCATGTCTACCCCAGCAAACATTTATTTTAAATACATTTATCTATCTTAATCACGTTAATTTAAATAGGAAATCCATTTAGAGGGTTCAAAGCGTGTCTCGAGGAAATAGTAAAACTTTTTCCACTTAAACAGGAGCTCTACAGTCCTCAGCTCACTAACTGGCAAGGGAGAGTCTTTGTTTGAAACTGGTTGTACTGAGAAAGTTTGTCTGTAATGAAAGGTGTCACAGATACCTTTTTCATTTCTACTCGTATTTGTCCAACTGGCTTTTCACTGCAGAACCCACAAGGGAAGTCCTTTGGTGCTTCAGTCTTGCTGACCATGAAGGCTTCAGTGCAGCTAGACCTTTTTGGTCCCCCTCCTTAGAGGTACCGGGAATCCTGAAGTTACTGCAGTCTTCCTATAGTTGTATACTAGAGTTGGAACACATATGCTTTCTAGCACTAAACCTAGTGTAGCGTGCCAGCTCCCATTACAGAAGAGTTTGTTCCTGATTCAGGGAACTTTGTGCTCCTGAGCCCAGGAACTGCATTACCACTGAACATTTTGTCCCTGAAGTTGATGTGTTAGAAGCATAAAATTGGGTCAAATAGTCATGGCAAGACGACAGGGTCAGATCAACTACAAAACTGCAGCTCTTGTGGGATGTTCCCGGTCTGCAATGGTCAGAACCTACCAAAAGTGGTTCAAGGAAGGAAAACTGGTGAACTGGCGACAGGACCATGGGTGGCCAAGGCACAATGATGCATGTGGGGAGCAAAGGTTGGCCTGTGTAGTTCGATCCAGTAGAAGAGCTACTGTAGCTCAAACACACATTGCATTGCAGTTTGTTGCATATAGGGCTGCGTTGTGGTAGACCGGTCAGGGTACCCATGCTGACCACCGCCAAAAGCAACTACAGTGAGCACGTGAGCGTCAGAACTGGACCATGGACCAGTGGAAGAAGGTGGCCTGTTCTGATAAATCACATTTTCTCTTACATCATGTGGATGGCCGGGTGTGTGTGTGTCATTTAGCTGGGAAAGAGATGGTACCTGGATGCACTATGGGAAGAAGGCAAGCTAGCAGAGGCAGTGTGATGCTTTGGGAAATTTCAACTAGGACACTTTTTGGGTCCTGCTATTCATGTGGATGTTACTTTGACACGTACCACCGACCTAAACATTGTTGCTGGCCACGTACACCCCTTCATGGAAACGGTATTCCCTGATGGCAGTGGCCTCTTTCAGCATAATAATGCTCCCTGCCACACTGCAAAAATGGTTCAAGAATTGTTTGAGGAGAAGAAGGGGGACCTACTCAATATTAGACAGGTGGTCATATTGTTGCGGCTGATTGGTGTATATAGTTTGAACATGCTTCATGTCCAAAACTAATAAACTAATAAATGGTTTCCTAAGAGTGATGCAGTTAATCACCTGTAGGGCTGCAACAACTAATCGACATAATCGATTATAATCGATTATTGAAAAAGTTGTCAACTTTTTCAATAATCGATTAATCGGCTTCCGATCAGTTGGCCCTGTTCACGGGTCCACAAATGCGCACCACACCTCCTCCCCAACTCACGCTCACCGCTGCCAGACCCGCCCGCATCCGCGGTCTACACGCCGCACCTCCTTCCCGCCTCACACTCTCCGCCCGCCCACATCCACGATTGGCACAGGGATTAAATTATACAGCGCAATGCAGAATACCACCAGCTATAGAGGAGCACAGCAAATCCCAGCAATAGTACATTATACAGTGGTGCAATGCCGAATACCACTAGCTATAGAGGACTACAAATCCCAGCAATAATACATTATACAGTGGTGCAATGCCGAATACCACTAGCTATAGAGGACTACAAAACCCAGCAATAGTATATTATACAGCGCAATGCAGAATACCACCAGCTATAATGTACTATTGCTGGGATTTGTTGTAGTCCTCTATAGCTGGTGATATTCTGCATTGCGCTGTATAATGTACTATTGCTGGGATTTGTAGTCCTCTATAGCCGATGCCATTCTGCATTCATTGCTGTATAATTTTACACTTTCCATTTCACTATATTGCACACCACACCATTTTTTTACTTCCACCGCTCCAAGCTTGCTCCTGTGATCCATTTTTTAAAATGTATGTTATTGTTTATCCGATTAACCGATTAATCGAACGTAATAATCGGCTAACTAATCGATTTTGAAAATAATCGTTAGCTGCAGCTCTAATCACCTGGGACATAGGCACTGCCGACATCATCTTATAACCGAGACCATAAAGTAGAGCAGCTGACATTGCAATACCTGGGCTGTGCAAGATCCCCAGCTAGACTCTGAGTAAGGTTAAACAAGCTTCATATTGTCAGCTGTCATATCTGTTGCTCAAGTCTTGTGAACTTGAATTTGCCAGTTTTTAGATAGTAATCAACAAGTCATCTTGCAAAATAGTTTTGTCCCCAAGAGTTGCTCAAAGCTCGATGTCACACCCTGTGTGGAACTAAATATATGTTTAAGGAGAAATGTTTTTATTACATCTACTGAAAATGTTCTGTTTGGAGAAATTCCAGAACAAATATGAAGTTCTATGCAGATGAATCTGGCCACCAATCTGTTATTTTTGGTTCTTGAATTACAATATCTGTGTGGACTGCATTCTGTGTTCTATGATTTTGCCGAATATATATATAGTGGAGAACTGACATAACTAGTGTAATGCATTGTATCCTGTTTCTTGTCAATCAATTAGGGTGGTTGCTGAGCATTGATCTGTCCATACATTGCTCCAATTTTAGGCAAGCCCTTCTGACTCTGCCAAAATCCGAGCAGTGTGCAGCCCTGTCGGCACCCCTCCATATGATAAAAATAATGCTACAAGGTATGCTGGTTGTAGGAGTTGTTATCCTGGACTGGCCTACAAATTGTATTTTTGTTTGCCAGTGTCCAGTCTTCATGTAGGTGGCAGTATAATCCCGCTGTTAAGGAATTCCTGTGTCCCTTAATAGACTCCAACAAAAGTGTTTTACAGGGAGTACAAAAATCCTATTTTTTTCCACCTTTCTTTTAAATATTGCCTACCTGTTGCACGATTGCCAGTGATCAGAGGGGCAGCTCTTACATCAAAATGCAAAGCCCTGCCTCTACCAAGAACAAGGCATGGTAAGCTAGTATTGGGGAAAAGATTAGCTGCAGAGACCCTACAGGCAATACTGGAGACTAGCCTTTGCGTGTCTTTGGGCACAGCTTCCACAGTACAGGTCCTCTTTCGTTTCAAAGTTTTTATTGAATTTTAACAGAAGGTATAACGAGCAAAACCATGACGCGAATAGCATGGGTGCATGGTAACAACAGCTATCATCAGGTGGGTCATAGTTTTGACTATGGTTTCTCCAAGTACCTCAAGACGGGGATGCATCTGGGAGAGAGGGGGCTATCCGGATAAGGGAGTCCGGAGAGCAGTGTGCCAGGTGGCAAGGGGGTGAAGAAAGAAAAGGGGAGAAGGACGGGAGAGAGAGGGGGTGGGGCACTGGGTTTGTCCAGAATAAGCTCCTTCAGCATGGGGATCTAGAGGGCTGAGAGGCTAGCCGGGGCTAGAGAGGGGTGGGCGTAGTCGATCCACGGCTGCCAGATCTTGGTGAATGATTTGTTGGTGTCCGAGAGGATGCTAGTCAGCTTCTCGTTGAGGCAGAAGAAGTCCATCCGCCGTGTAACTTCCCCGAAGGGTACAAATTGCTTCTTCCATGCCGAGGCAATAGTTTGTTTGGCTGCTAGCAGGACATGTGTGGCCAGTCGGTGTTGGTTTTTCGTGAGGAGCGGAGGTGTGAGGTGCAGCAAGGCCATCCACGGGTCCTTGCGAAGCTTCACGGAGAACAGGCTGTCCAATAAACGGAAAACTCTCGACCAAAACCTGGTAACCATGGGGCAAGACCACCACGTGTGGAGGACATCTCCCAGGGACAGGCAACCCCTAAAGCATGATGACGAGTGCGAAGGGTGGAGGTGGGCCAATCTGGACGGCACTAGGTACCACCGCGTTAGGGACTTAAAAGCTGTTTCCATGGAGGAAATATTGATGGAGCAGGTGGCCATGGAGGTCCAGATTTGCTGCCAGTTCTCCAATGGTTGCGAGGATCTAAGGTCCCGCTCCCATCTCCCTACGTAGGGGTGGTTATTAGGGGATGTCAGTGTGTTTAGTTGGGTGTAAATCTGCGAGACCAGTTTCGGACTGTATGGGTTGCGTTTACAGGTGTGTTCAAATATTGTTAGGCCTGCCCGAGTTTGAGACCGCGTGAGCGTGGAAGTGGCCCAGTGGTAAATTTGTAGGTACCTGAAGTGTTCAGATGGGGGTGCGCCCTTCTTGTCCCTGAAATATTCCCATCGGCGAACCGAGCCGCCGTCCAGCAGGTCGCACAGGTGTGTCAACCCTTTGGAGGACCACCACGTGAATGCCTGGGGGGAGTCTAGCCCCGGGGGTAATAAGGGGTTCCCCAATATGGTAACGGGAGGTGGGGTGATTGGAGGTTACTGGAATATCTGGTGGAATCCCAGAGGGAAAAAGTGTGGGTCAATATGGGGCTCATGGAGCGGGGGCGGAGGTTGGGGGGTAGCCATGGCAGGGAGCATAGGGAGTAAGGGCTACAGGAGGTCGCTTCCAAGTCCACCCAAAGTTGATTGTTGGGGGATTGGAAAAAGCTGACTATGGAGGCGATATTTGCCGCTAGGTAATATTTGCGGAAGTTGGCTAGGCCTAGGCCTCCGTCACCTTTATGGGTATGTAGGGTAAATCTGGGCCTGGAACCTCTCGAGGTCTTTTCGAGGTATTGGTATGGGCAAAGTGCGAAAAAGGTATAGTAGCTTAGGGAGGATGGTCATTTTGACCGCATTGATTTTGCCCATCCAGGAGAGTTTGTGGCGTGCCCAGGAGGACAGGAGGTCCCTAAGAGTTTTAAAAAGTGGAGGATAGTTGGTAGCGTATAAAGTGTCATAGGTGCGGGAAATGTTAACTCCAAGATATTTTAAGTGAGAGGTGTGCCATTTGAAGTGGAAGTTATGACTGAGGGCAGTTACTTGTTGTGATGGTAAAGAGATGTTAAGTGCACAGGATTTGTCAGCGTTGACCATTAGATTCGAAACTTGGGCGAAGGAGTATAGAAGCGAAAGCAAGTTAGGGAGTGTTACAATGGGCTGAGTTAGGGTGAGCAAGAGGTCATCTGCGAACATATGAAGTTTGTATTCGGTTTGTCCTTTGACAACACCGTGGATATTGGGGTTGGTTCGAAGTACAGGTCCTCTTTAAGTGTTTAATGGTTACTCTAACCATGGACTTCAAACAGCAACCGTTTAGTGTGTTAGGGGGTCAGTAGCAATTGGCTAAGAAAATCCATGTAGGATGATAGATTATTTCTGGTAAGTCATGATTTGGCTACAGAAGTTGCATTCAGCCATACAAGGAAAATGTTCCAATCAGAATGTAATCTGATAAAACAAGTAATTTGTTTGTATTTATAATAATATTCCACACTATGGAGTGCTGATGAAACCTAGAAAGCTGCTAAAATAGTGTGATAACACTTACAAGATGTAGATAAAAGTGCACCGCGCTACATTAAAACATCAATAAAGTAATGTTCAATCGCAATAATTAATACATCCTGATTTCATGTACATCTAAAGTGCAAATAGTGCCCAACAGTGATGATCAGTATCAGTCAATTAAGACCCCGTTCACATTGAGCGATTTATCGCGCGGTAATTCCCGCGCGATATCGCGCTCCAATGCACTCCAATGGGGCAAAGGGTCCTGCTGTCGCGGGTCGTGTGTCGCTACAGCAGGACCCTTTTTGGAGCGGATTTAGCCGCGATTCAAGCTTGCTCAATGCAAGCTTGAGCGCGACATCGCGCGGCAAATCTCGCGATGTCGCGCAATATGCAAATCGCGTGACAAACGCGCAATTTGCATATCGCGCAGTGGGAACGGGGCCTTATAGAAGTGTCCCAACTGTGATCTACAACAGAAGATAAATTCATATGAAGTGTCTCAATACAATCTATACACATGTCCCACTGTGATCAACAACAATAGTCCCGACATATAATCGTGTCCCAGAAAAACGCCAATCAGTCTCACAGGGTTATTCACAAAAGAATGACGAGTTTGGAGAAGGCCGGAGAAGTGAACAATCTAGGACAACATCGCTGAACAGGAAAGTGAGCTGAATTGGAGAATATTTCCAAATCGGCTATGTTGTCCTAGATTGTTCACTTCTCCTGCCTTCTCCAAACTCTTCACCCTTTTGTGAATAACCGTGCAGTCAGCAGTCCAATATCCCTGGTTTTGGGTCCAATATCCACCGCACATACCATCAAATGGCCCCATGCAATAAAAAATTGCTCATAGTGCAGTAAAAGTTATACCATTTAGTGGGACAATACAATGATCTACTCGCATATAGACGTAAAACATGCCAGCAAACAAACAACTCAAACTGGCGTGATGCTATACAGCGCGCTTTCCTCCTCAACTCCTGCGTTCCCGAGCGTGGTAGCATCGGCAGGGTCCGCCCAAGACATATATTGCATAGTTTTGATAATTCCTAAGTTAATCATACAGAGATTGTACAGCCATATTGTCACATGTATGGCGATCCTTGGATCACTTTTTTACATATGGTATGTCTGTAGCATTCTCTCTTCTATCACTACTCAGAATTGGACTTTTCACATGAGCTTTATGAGCTAAGGGCTGTAAAGTCACTGAACAAAAGGGTTTCTAAACCCTCCGGTTTTTTTTTTGCATATATATGGCTAGCAAGCAGTAGATATTTGCAAAAAGTTTTTTTAAAAACCCGCTTTGACTGCAGTTTAAACTTACCTGTGTCTTTGTCCGAGAATCCGAAACTGCTCAGGCGGCCGCAAAGCATCTTGGGGCGGGCACATGCACAGTTCGGATTTTCGGCCGGGAGACGAGCAGAGACGCAAGGTAAGTCTTTGGACGCGTGCACCCGCATGCAGACACCGTGGGACAGGAAGTGCCTGCAAGGACAGAGGAGTCAGCGCTGGATCAGAGAGCCGCCGCACCGCTGGAGGGACAGATGAAAACATCAGGAAAGAAGAAGATCGGATTATGAGACATCATTTAAGGTAAGTGCTGACATTAACATTGGGGGGAGGGAAAACATTTTTTGACTTTAATGTCACTTTAAGAAGCTGGATTCTCTTTTGGCTGAAATCAGCCTGTCCCTTGGCATTCAGCTGCAGAAAGGACCACTGCCACCTGTGTGTAGGCAGCCGTCTCTCTCCAGTGGTCTAACACCCGCTGCTGAGTGAAAGCTAGAGTTCTTTGAGTAGTGTGAGCTTAGCTGATTGTAGAGTTATTGGCCTGACTCAGCCAGGATTGTGCCTGACCACTGCAGACAGACCACTTACATACCTATAGTGTGTTGTGGTTCCATCCACTGAGACCCTGCGCAGCCCTTCCGAGACCCCGCACAGCCCACCTGAGACCCTGGAGACACCAGGCTGCCACCCCAGCGCAACACAAAGTATGTAGCTTCATATTATTCTGCATTGCTGTATAATGTATTGCTGGGATTTGTAGACCTCCATAGCTGATTGTATTCTGTATTGCTTTTTAATGTATTGGTGAGATTTGTAGTCCCTCTACAGCTTGGAGTCAGTGGCAGAACTACCAGGGTCTCAGCATTTGCAGCTGGGACCAGGCCCTGGTGCTCCACCACTGTCCTAAAACCATTAGTCTGTATTGTTTTAGAAAAACTGTCACAGGCCAGGTATCGGTAATTGGTATCGGCGAGTACTCGAGGAAAAGTATCAGTACTTATACTCGGTCTTGAAAAAATTGTATTGGTGCATCCCTACCCGTAAGTATCAGATGGATAGTCACAGCTATTCAAGAAAGCGAAGTTTCAACACACTGCCACTGAAAAGGTAAGTATAAAGCTTCTTCTACAGGGGATTGCTGTTGTAAGGTTTTCCACTCCTTGACACCATTGTGTTAAGTGAGTGTGTTGTGGATCTTTACATCCAAGTCTTAGAGGATGTGCATGCCAGGAAAGGTGAATGTCTGAATAATGTAGAATGGGGAGATGTGGAGCACGCATTCTTCACACATGAAGATAAATATTCCTGTAATTTGTTTTCCTTAGGACATCAGAAGAGATGAATTCCTGGATTTCCCGGATTAATTTAGTAGCGGCCATGTTTTCTTCACCACCTTTTCCGGCAGCTGTGGGCTCTCAGAGGAGGTTTTATCGACCCATTCTCCCCTTAGCCCAGTCGAAGCTTGATCTGGTAAGTGTTTGACATTTGTGGCATTAATACGTGTTTTAGAGCCTTCAACTTACTTTTTATATCTACTGTTTGTTACTAAACACAAGGAAATGCAATTTTTGCAGTCTTAGGAAGTATTAAAGTGGACCTGTATGTAAATGTTAACATAAAGTTATGTTACCAGGTTTGCTGGGATGGATAAATAAAGAGAAAGCGAAGGGAAGAAATACCTTCTCTGAGAGATATTTATGGGTGCAGGCTCCCTCCAGCTCTGATCACATGTCTGAAAGCCTAAACACTTGGCCATGTGATCTCTGAATTGGAGGTCATAAGAAAAATGCCAAAGTTCTCGGATATATCCAGCACTAGCAACATTTCATCTAGGAAATGTAAGTGTTTCAGCCCTTCGAGGCTTTCTAGAGTATGTTAAAATTGACATATATGTCTGTTTTAAAACAACAAGGAACCTCAGTGAGGACAAACACTAAATAGGCAGTGCTTTGGTTGCTCACAAAAAAACTGCTGCTTCTACTGTTTGAAGTCAGTATACAGGTGCCCAGTAGTAAGGTTTGCGATTTAGACAACATCAACAACTTCCGCAGGCCAAAGTGCTCACATACGGTAGCATTATGAGGGCACCCGAACAGGTCCAGGATAGTTGGAAGAAGCTTTGGTAACCCTCAGATGCCCATTGCACCCTTGAAGCGGACCTTTACACTCAAAAATCAAATTCCTGTTGCATCCCTCTATGTATGATGAATAATAATAACATAGACATGTCAGGAGTAAAATGCTGTGATTGTGAAATACTGACACTTGCGTAGCATTCACTTCCTGCTTTGAAAGAGCAGAATGACTTCAGTTTGGCAAAGCAATGCACACTGGGATCGCCTTGTCATCAGCAGAGCATTGCTGGGAAATCTCATCGGCGAGATCTTAGGGAAAGGCATTTTCCTCCCCTGAGATGATGTGCGTGGTCACATGTCTAGTCACATGTGCCAGAGTTCCAGGAAGTAAAAGAAGAGCTAGTAATCTGCCCTTAGTAAACGTGGCCACTGTCAGAAGACTGGGGAAGAAAAGAGAAATAAGGAATGCAAAGAATACAAAGCCAGCAATTATCTAGAAGTATGTGTGTGTAGATTGTCATCACTAAACATTTGCTAAGGTGTGTTTGTTGTTATTTCAAAGTTATACATAAAGGTCTGCTTTAAAAACCACCTTCATTTTGCATTTAGCCAAAGAGTGTGAAATTTAACCAAAAACTCCCACTTTTTGCTGCAATTACAGGGAAATAAAATCTCTCAATTCAAATAAACTTTAAATTGTATTGAACTCTAGCGATGGCACAGGGGCGGTTTGCCAGGTACATATTTATATTGATAGACCAAACAAATTTGCCTTTTAAAAGATCAGCGAGAGGTGACACACAAACTACAGAAGCTGTTCATTATAGGTCTAGTTTACAGAAAAGTCATAGACATTGATGGGATAAACCACATCCTGGCATCTAGTGTCTTTTGGATATACCAGGAGCAGGAGATCCCATCCATAGTTCCGAGCCCTGATGGCTATCAGTAAAGAGGCTTTGTCGCAAGACCATTCATTCCAACATGAATTTTCTCAAAAGATTATATGTGCATTTAACATAAATTGTACATGATTTTTACTAGGGATGCACCGATATATAGGCCGCCGAAACATATCAGCCGAAAATGGCACTTTTGGCAAAATGCCGAAAGTTCATTTTTTCTGCCAATATAGCGGTGCATCTCTGCTTTCTCTCCTCCCTGCTGGGCGCTGCTCTATGTCCCAGCAGGTACGAGAATAACTATCACAGGCGGCCGAGCGTTGCAGGAAGACTCTCCTCCCACACCACTCAGCCTCCTGTCACAGATCAGGAGGGCGGCGGTGTGGGGGCGGTGACAGCTGTCACAGGAGGCCGGCTGGCAGTGCGGGGGAGGAGTTAGCTGTCAGATTGAGCTCTCCTCCTCGCTCAGCCTTTTGTGACAGCTGTCAGGATGGAGAGCGGGTACAAGCAGTCAGTGATCGCTGAGTGTTTGTACATAATAGAGGACATGGTATGTTTACTATCTCCTCAATTATGAATGAATGGGAAGTGCTCTACATCACCTCCTGTTCATTCATGATTGTGGTTATAGTAAACACACTCTGTCCTCATGTTATGAATGAACAGGAACACTCAAAGAGTAGAGGATTCCTGTTCATGTATACCAGGGGATACAGAAAGAGATTGAGGGCTCTGTGTTCTCAATCTTTTTCTATTTTAAAAGGGAAATATCAGGCGTCTGTTTAGACCCCCAATATTTCCCCGAAACTCCTAAAAGTAAAGTAAAAAATAAAAATATTTAATAAAAATAAAATGTGAAAAAATTTAAAAGTGTTTATAAAAAAATGAATATAAATTTGAAAAAGTTAGAAAAACATTTTTGGTTTCGGCCTGACATTTTTTTTCATTTCAGTTTCGTTTTGGTTTTAAAATTTTCATTTCGGTGCACCTCTAATTTGTACTTGTAAAAGCCTTCTTTGTGTAAGCATCCAAAAACCCTGAGACTGCTGCTGGATGACAACATCTTGGATGTTATGTCAGCAGACTCAGAGCTTTCACCTAGGTCACCTTCACTCCTCTTCTGCAACTACATAACAGGTTATGTACGGAGGGAAGCGGCAGTGGAGCTAGTCCAGCATTGATAGTAATCAGATACTACCAGAAGGTAGGGGGGCTATGACGTGCAAGTAAGGAGAGGGCTGTACATGGGGAATTAAGTGTTCTTGGAGTAGTCAAAGTTCAAAGGCACTTTGCAGTGAACAAAAAAAGGTTTGTGGAAAAACTTCTAAAATGCCTCTCCTGTACTTTTACCTTTTGATGTTTTAGTTGGTGACTGGGTCTCTGCTCTCCCACTTGCATTATATGTCCTAGGGATGCACCGATACCGGTTTACTTCCAGTAGCATAGAGCCGGCTTCCCGGGCAATCAAGAAGCCAGGTGGCGTGTCATTACCCACCACCCGGCTTCTTGATACCCCGGGAAGCCGACTCCATTCTGTTTGGCCGACCTCGATGCTGATTGGCTGGGAAGCCGGCTTCCCGGCCAATCGGCATTGAGGTCGGCCAAACAGATCTGACAATATGGTGACACGACCCCCACCCTGCAGGCACCTCATTCCCCTTGCATAAATCCTTAGCAGCAGTCATTACCGTACCAGTCCCTCGGCCAGCTTGGCAGACACCGCTCTCCCGGATCTACCCACGTCTCCCGTGTGTCCAGCGCCCACGTGATCGGCCTGCTACTGTGCATGTGCAGACTGCCAAGTGCTCTCATTCAGAAATCCTGTGCATGCGCAGTAGCAGGCTGAGGGCCGATCACACGGGCGCTGTGCACACAGGAGACGTGGGCAGATCTTGGAAAGCGGTGTCTGGCCTGGGGACTGGTACATTAATGACCGCTGCTAAGGATCTATGTGAGTGGAATGATTTGTCTGCTGGGTGAGGGTCGTGTCGCCATATTATCAGATTTGTTTACCCGGGTCGACACTGATTGGCTGCTAAGCTGGCTTCCCAGCCAATCAGCATGGAGCCAGCTTCCCAGCTCCATGTTCCCTCGCGGCGCTGCCGGTCAGAGGAAATCTCCCTCTGACCGGAAGTTCCAGTATCAGGAAAGGTATCGAAGCATTTCGACGAGTACTCACCCAAATACTCGGTATCGGCAAACAGATACCGATCCTAGTATCGGTATCGGTGCATCCCTAATATGCACTGTAAGGTAAATAAGCAGTTAGAGAGGGCTGCTGTGCAATGCCCACAATAAGTTTCAGGGACGGGAACATGTGCACAGATGCACCATCAAAGCTCCTACGAGTGCTAAGAAACCAGATTCTCCAACATGTATCCGAGAGTAAGATGTCTGCGAGGAATACAATGATTCTTTTCTTTAATAATATATCAGCTATATAAATCCTGTATAATAATAATAATTACACAATATTTACATAGGAAGAGCAACTTCAGTCCCACGAGACTCTAATGGACAAATTTACAGATGATCTGACTGAGCATCAGCGAAATCTTCCAGACCCGAAGAGTAAGAGTCGAGAGTCAGAGGACTACCATTTGAGGGAAGAGTATTTACGATATGAGGTAAGAGTGAACTTCTTCTCTATACACTATAGCTGCGAGCTCTGAGGTTCATTGGGCAGCTCATGAGATTTCACGCTCTTTAGCTAATTTCGTTGCACATGATCTGCTTCTCTATCCAGAAAATGAGGTACGAAACGTACGTGAAGCTCCTGGCTATACGGTTAGAAAGCGGCTGTGAGGACCTCCTGGCTTTCGAGTCTCGGCTTACAGAACCTGACGGGGGTCAAGGGGAGACAACCGGATTGAAGAGGTCCTACTCAAGTCCTTCTCTTATCCCAGAGAGCTCTCCCGTGGTGGTGAAAGTGAAGCGCAACATCTCAGAACGGCGCACGTACAGGAGGATTATCCCGAAACGCAACAAAAATCTTGTGTGAAGAGAAGACTTCTGCTACCGGGCAGAACTCCTGAGCACTTTTTTCATGGTACTTCCTGGGTGCAGTGTCATCTGGACCATCAGGTGCCTTATTTGTCTTGCTTGCGCTGGACCTGGCAGAGACCACCAAAGCACTATATATGGATGGTCTCTCCTTATATCAAAGGGATTCATAATTCCTTAAATACATGAACAGAACCCTATGGGATTCTGAACCTATGCTCATGGTTTTAAATAAGGAACAATGTTCCTTGGTTACTTAGAAAGTATGGAGTGTAGGTGAGGTTGGTGTTTTTTGTGCGTCGTTTAGGTATATGGAGGCTGCAAAAGTTCTTCATAGGTCAGCAGATCTTGTTTATTGACGTTGCTTTTCCTACATATCTCAGAGATGTTTCCTTCTCTTTGCTGTTACCCTGCAGTTTGTATCTTTGCCTCTAGCTGGCATTCTTGGACTGTTAGGACAGAGATCAGCTTTAGACTCTCTGTCTATAAATTTTTATCTTTCCTTCGACCTGTATTTAAAGGATGTCACATTCTTCATAGGTAAGCCTTAATCCAGGTTTATCAGTCTCATCCTCCAAAATGTCTGGTAAAGGGAAAAGTATTAGGACCCATTCATACCACATGCAGATCATCTCCAGAGCAGACCAGATTGTTTCCGGACCCAAAATGCATCCTAGTGCATCCCTATGCTATTTCTGGCCTCTGTTCACACCAGCTTAGTCCTTTCCAGACCAGACCAGAAAAATACTGCACGTCTCATGTCTGGTCTGGAATGCACTGGAACTGCAGGCAGGTTCACACCATTTTCCGGACCAGATCTGTCCTGTCCTTGCTCTTCAAAGGATTTCTGATTAAATGGGGTTTGTCGTGTTAATGTTTAGTACAATAAGGAGATTCTGGCCTAGTGGCTGAGATGTCTGTGTGAGTATGGGCCATTCCTGCACAAGTGTCATAATGACCTGTAATGCAACATACATCTGAGAAGACATGGCTATAAAGGGGAACCTTACCAGATATTGCTTTTTTCCATTTTAAGGTAGGTTTAGCAGGGTAGGACAGGGCTCAGCCTTAATAGGAGTCTTCATTGCAGTCCAAGGCCCCAACGCGTAGATCTTCCGGCCACCCCCAACACAACCATGACTGACTGAACTCAGCGTTTCAACATGTTGTCATTGATTCTTTTTCCATATATTCCTATGGCGAGTCCACTAGAGGGCAGAATTCCTGTACCATGCATCCTTCAGTGGATTCTTCCTTGGAATATATAGAGTTCCCAAAGGCCAGTAGCAATGATAACATTGCTGAGAAGTCAAGCATAGCCTGTGACCAGTGTCCTGGTTTGGTGGCCAAAATCTGCTCTTGAAGTTCCTCTTTACATCTGAGGAAGGTGTAACAATTTCAAGGAACGGATGCTTTAATAAAGTAGAGTTGACATAAAATTGCAGGTAGAAGAGGAAGATGGAGCTCTGTGTAAAGTTCACAGCGAGGTTCCATGATTAGATTAGGTACAGGCAGTCCCCGGGTTACGTACAAGATAGGGTCTGTAGGTTTGTTCTTAAGTTGAAGTTGTATGTAAGTTGGAACAGGTACATTTTTTAAGTGCGACTCCAGCCCAAACATTTTTTTTAGTTTTGGATAGCATAGGAAAGGGTTTATCCCCTGTAATGTTTGTTTTGCTGTGTGTGCCCCTGTTCAGAAGATTTCACCTCACTTTCTGTCCCTGTGGATTTTGAAAATTTTGGGTTGTCATGGAAACAAGGATTAGTGCTAAAGCTTCAGTGTAGAGATCTTTTTCCCATAATCACTCTTACAGGAGGGAATTTCCCTTCCTAGGGGTAGATTTCCTCTCACTTCCTGTTGTCTCAAGGACAGGAAGTGAGATTAAATCTTTCTAATGAGGATACAGACAGCAGTAAAAACTTCACAATGACCCAGAAGAAGAGGTGGGCACCCCTTGTCTGCACGTCTAACAAGAGCAAACTTACTGTAATGCACTTACAGTACCCGGGCACTCCTCGTCGGCACAAGCGCGGTAGCATTTCAACTACTGAATGCTGCGCGGTACACTTTGGCTGCAGCCTGGGACCCCCTGCTGTACAGTAATAGCCTCCATTACTAAGTAGGAGTCGTATGTAAGTCGGATGTTTGTTACTCGGGGACTGCCTAAACTTTATCATTCATGGAGTACTCAAGCTAGACCTTACAATGTGACTCCACGTTTATTAATCTGGGACAGTGAAACTGTGAACAGTATTTATTAACAGAGTCTGTACTAAAGGAAAACATATGGGGGCTGCCTTTACTGACATCTGCTGGAAATGCTAGTTGCCCGGCAGTCAAACTGATGTAATGAGGCTGATTTACTAAAGGAGTTGAAAATGTGCACACATGAAAGGACGTAATGTTCACTTCCATTATCCAGTCATGTAGCAAACTCTTGTTTACTTCATCTGCACATGATTTGAATATTATTATACAGGATTTATATAGTGCCAACAGTTTGCGCAGCACTGTACAATATAAAGAAGACATTACAATCACAATACAATTCAAGACAAGATGGTAAGGAGGGCCCTGCCCCTGAGGGCTTACAATCTAAAAGGGAGGGGGAAGTGATACAAGAGGAGGTATAACTGAAGTGAATCCTTATTTTTTTGTCTGAACATTCTCAACCCCTACAGTAAATCTACCTCAACGTCTTCAGTACATTTAGCCGCTGACTCATAACAGGTATGCAGATGGGAAAACTTAAAGAAGAACTCCAAGAAAATGTTTTCTTAACCCTTGTAGTGAGGCTACCCCCGCAGTGCAAGGGTTAAGTGCTCCTTTGTGTCTAAGTACAAAAATAACAAAGTTATGCTCACCCGAAGCTCCGAGCCGACCGGTTGTCACAGCGCTCCCTCCAACCTGTTTCCTTCTATGCTGCAGCATTAGGATCTTCCTCAGCATTCTCAAGTCTATACACTGTGTATAGACATGATGGTTTATGGAACCTTAGACCTCTGCAGAGGAGGGGGATAGAGGATGGAAGGACCGGTCTGCGAGCAAGCTGGCTTGGAGCATCGGGTGAGTCTAACGTTTTTTGTAGGGATGAACCAATACCGATACTAGTATCGCTGCCGATGCCAAGTATTTTGGCGAGTACTCATACTCGCCCAAATGCTCCGATGCCTAGCCCGATACTTCCGTTATCAGGAAGCCGGTCAGCGCGTCATTACACCTTCACCTTCTAAAATCAACACCTACCTGTAGTGTTTCTCTACTTTTAGTCACTGTAATATAATTGGGCAGCCATTGGTAAAACTCCATCAAGTTGTAAGTGTGTGACTCGCAAAGCGCTGATGCCAGAGGACCAACAGCTACCGTAGGTATCTAGCATTGTCAGGAGAGGCCAGCAAAGGCAGGCTCCATATTGTCTAGGGTTGCACAGATACCAAGATAGACAGGTTACTGTTATCTCTCATGTCTCATTGTGCCCATGCCGGAGGTCTACAGTACGTGTTGTGCCCAGTAGGAAATGTTGAATGGATGGAAGTCTTTCTATAGCGGTCCGCAGTAACGTATAGCTGCCTAGGCATGGACCTTCTGTCTGTTCTGCAGTCCGTGCAAGCCTACAAGGAGAACATTCCAGTAGAGAACATAGGAACATCTGAATGATATCATGTTGTTCCTTACCATACAACAACTATATAGATACGGTTGACTAAACTGACCCCTTTGTATTGTTATCTATGGTCTTCGTTCTTTCCATAGCTACACAGTCCTGATCTGCCCCACATCACCTCTTCTGTCCAACAACTTTACAGTTTTTACAACTAGGAATGCACCGCTACTAGTATCAGTGCCGATGCCGAGTATTTGGGCAAGTACGAGTACTTGCCCAAATGCTCCAATGCCTAGCCCGATACTTCTGGTATCAGGAAGCCGGCTCCATGCTCCCTCGTCACAAGAAAGCATGGAGTTGGCTTCCTGATTGGCCGGGAAGCCAGCTTCATGCTCCCTCATCGCGTCATTACACGTTGCCCGGCTTCCTGATTGGTCAGAAAGCTGGCTCCATGCTTACACGTCACCTAGTGACGAGAGGCATGGGGAGGGCTTCCCTGCTAATCGAGAAGCCAGGTGGCGAGTCTTTACACGCCACCTGGCTTCCTGAATGGGACTTCCGGTATCAGTATTCGGTATCGGTGAGTACCGGAAAAAAATATCGGTGCATCCCTACTTACATCTATAACTGTACCAGCTATGATAAAATACTGTTCTGTGAATGTTTATAGGCAGCTAGCTAGCAAATGTATGCATGCATCTGTTCATTTTAGGGTTTTGGGGGGGAACCAGGGGTAAATAGGTCTCTGTACAGCCATAACCTATGGCATGCCGGGCTCTAGCTGCTGCTCATCCCTATGCGGCAGAAGACCAAACCAAAAGAGTGGAGCTGAATAAGGTTAAGTTATAACATGCAAACCTGATTCCTACAAGAAATGGCGCCTCTAACTATGAAGGAGTTTATAGCGGCTGAGCACAACGATAACATAAACCCCCTTTCAGCCTCCATAAGCACAAAGAAAAAAAATAATTCATACTATTTTTAAAGGATCGTTATTTTCCAGGTCTGCCTTTGATATCACACTGGTCAGGCAGATTGACCTAAAGAACCTCTGTTATGCTGTTCGGCCATTGGGTTAATCATTCGGGGGTCGGGTCACATGACCCTTTTCTGTTCCTTTCTCTTTAGAGATGATGCTGTTGGTTCCAGTGAACATTTTGTATTTGGTACTATTTCTATGCAATTACAATGACTTTGGATTGCAATTTGTGTTTACACGTCTGTTGTGTTCTGTACAATGTATCACGTGCTGCTAAGGACCAATGTATGTTCAAATGACCTAAAGCTGGTCTAGGTTAGGCTTTCGCTTTGTTGTCTAGTTCAGTCCATGCCCTGTAATATAATTGGGCAGTTTTGCTGTAACTTAATTTTGGGAATGATCTTCTTCATAGAGTACCTGTGATGTAAAGCCCGATTGAAGTCGCAGAAATAGATATAAAGTTAGACAGACAACCTTCATTTTAATAGTCACCCCCTTGACTTTCCTGTTACAACACTTGTGCTGGAAGGCCAAGTATGACTGTCCAGACTAATAGACCCACTGCACTCAGTAATTCACACAGACATGATCAGATATACCCCCACCACCCTTCTTTCCAATACAAGTCTGTGTGAAAGGTGTAATGAGGGCTGCGGCCATTTCTCAGCATTGCCAGCACAGAGCCCTGGAGTGTGAGGGTAGAAAGCTCTTGAACTCCAGGGCTCTATGCTGGCATTGCTGGGAAATGGCAGAGTTAAAATGATGAGAGGCTTCAGTTGGGCTTTAAGCACAATATTAGCTGATTTGAGGTCACACAGTATTTATAAGAACACAATGATGTCCTTTCCCTTAGAAATAGTGATCTCATTGGCACACAAAGAGCCTCATGCTGCAATGATGTCTCTGATTTTCCTAATACATTGACTTGATTCGTTTATATAATGGCCACTTCTTCTGTCTGTGACAGGCGCAAGTTGCTCAAGCTGGATTTGGTGCATCTAAAGCGGCATATTACTGCACCACTTTCTGGAATACTTGTCATAAGCTGTATATTATCGCTGTGTGACTGTATACATGGATCTTCCTCAGATTCACTGCTGTTGTCACAGGGGAGAAAACTGTCTCAGGTTATCCATACATCTAAAATGATTGCCATGTGATGGAGACAATTCATGCACGGTTGTACATCCTACTCAGTGGCTGCTGGACATTATTGACTGTGTCGGAAACCATCAGGGACACCAATGTCTGTGTCATAGACCATTGGGCACATGAATGGCAGTGTTGGAGGCCACCAGGCATATGGATGTGTCGGAGACCATCAGGGACAGGAATGACTGTGTCGGAAACCATCAGGGACACAAATTACAGTGTTGGAGGCCATCGTTGACATGAATGACTGTGTCAAAGACAATCAGTAATGTGAATGACTGTATGAAGGACCATCAGGGACACGAATGGCTGCGTCGGAGACCATCAGGGACATGAATGGCTGTGTTGGAGACCATCAGGACCTTGAGTGACTGTGTCGGACACCATAAGGCATATGAATGGCTGTGTTGGAGATGATCAGTGTCCTTACAAGGGTACCGACAGGTTGTATAGTCTTGCCCAGTCAGCTTTGATTCCAAATATAGCAGATTTAACTGTCTGCACACACCATAGTGCTTCTGGACTCTCCGCATCTTCATGGTGCATCAAAATGTTCAAAATTGACTTGTGTTGCTTTTTATTTTATGAGTTGTCATATTGTTAAAATTGTTTGAAGCCATTGAAGCTATCTGAGCCTCCATCAAAGCCATGACCCACATCCCTCTTATCAGGTACTATGCATGGAAGCAGAGGGTGTGGCCCAAGTGCCGCCTGTTTGTTTTTTTTGCACTGGAATAAACAATAAAACCTTTTCTCTTGAGTCATGTGCCGTTATTTGGTGTATATGTTGGATTGGGACGTGTCGGGGAAATGTCTGTGAATTGTGGAACTATGATACCTGTGAGTGTGTTTAATCCAATTAGGACTCAAGTCGTTTTTGCGTTTCAATGTTGTTGTAAATGTAACCATTAGAGTAGAACTACGGCCTTCCATTACATAGTTACATAGTATTTGAGGTTGAATAAAGACATTAGTCCATCAAGTCCAACCTATTAGGATCTCATTCTAGGAGTACCCGTACCCCTGTATATTACGGTCCCTTAAGAAATCGTCCAATTATAATTGTATAACCCATTTGTTTATTTTTAATTCCAAAGTGCATTACTTTGCATTTATCGACATTAAACCTCATCTGCCACATTAATGCCCACTCCCCTATTTTATCCGGGTCCTCCTGTAATGTTATAGTGTCTAAGTCCGTGTCTATTACCCTCCCAATTTTGGTGTCATCCGCAAACACGGAAATATCGCTGTTAACACCCTCCCCGATGTCATTAATAAATAAGTTGAACAATATGGGACCCAGCACAGAAAATGTGCTGCAGCCCTTATAAGCACATCTGCACTTACAGCTTTCTCTAAGTCCCACAAATACCTGTTGATCCTGCTAGTGAGGTAAACCTCATGCAGCTTCCTGTGATGGGGTAGCAGTGGTGGTGCCTCTGTGCCTGCTTGCTCTATTCCATTCCCCTCGCATTGTGATCTGCAGTGTCTGGGGCAGTGCGTGAGGAACACAGATGAAGGAGGATTTGGTTCAGTGAGGGAAGGTAAAGGAAGTTTTTGTTGACTAAGCCTATGAGGCTTGTGTGTCATCCATAGTAGATGGTTTGGGGAATTGTTTTGATTGTCATACAGGAGCCTTTAGGTGTACTTTAAGGGAAGTAGGTAAAAGTGAAGAATACCAGGTAGAGATACCGCTTGGACCCGCATTAAAAAAAAACGTATGAATGGCAAAAGTACCATAAAATGATCTAAAATCAGATCCTGCGATCTATCTGGCCTTCCTATTCCAAAGGATACAGCCTAGGAGAAGTGATTGCTGCTCAGGGTCTAGTTCAGGGGTGGGCAACTCTGGGAGTCATGCCTGTGGCTGCCAGAGTCTTGCAATTCCTCATGGGATATGCTGTTCCACAACAGCTGGAGAGTCAGAGTTGGCCACCCCTGGTCTAGTTGGTAACATGGCTTGCAGTCAAGTTAAAGTGGAAGATTTGGGCTGTAAAACACTCATAGGCATAACACAGGGAGGTGTTGTCAGCCAGCCTCCATAGGTGGAGGGAGAGGTGCTGCAAGCAGTGGAGGATTCCACCTCTCTGCTGCAATGCCCCCAAAAGTGGCAAAATCTCCACCTGTTTGAGCTGTCACTGCTACTGTCCACCCACCTCTAACTAATCTACAGCCTTAATATCTCGCAAAATTGTCCATCGCAGGGTCCTGTAGTCTTAAAGGAGAACTATGAGATGAGTGATTTCCACTCACCTCATAGTTCTAGCCGACCTGTAACAATGAGACTGTCGCAGATCGGCTCAGTAGATCGGGAGGTGAGCGAATACATACCAGGTTCGCTCACCTCTCGATCCTGTCGCGGCTCTCTGCCGTGACGGGGAGGGGCTGGATTCCCCTCTCCCAGCTCCGATCTGCCAGCGCTGACTGGCGGAACGGACGGGGAGGGGGCGGGTACAGCTGGCTCTGCCTCTAGATAGGCAGAGCCAGCTGTCACTCACGCAGCTGGGCGGATCCCGACGTCCAGGTCGGGATCCGCTCCGGCTGCGGCGTCTCAGTATACCGCGAGCTGTAGCTCGCGGTATACTGAGCTTAGGGTAATGGGAGGACGCTAGTTTGTGTCCTCCCGTTGCCCTAAGGAGAACTACGGGGAAAAACACTGACCCCATAGTTCTCCTTTTAAAGGGGCTGCGTCATCGCATAGTGATGTGTTCAGTGGCAACAAAACTGGTCTGCTGCACGGAGAGCTAATGATCACCAGTCTCCACTACGGGGAACAGCCCTCGGAGAGTCACGTGACAACAAATTCAGGTAAGTGATTCTGAGTCTTGGGAGCTTTTCATTTATAGTAAAATTACAGGTTGGATTAGTGTGGGTGAGGTGGGAAATATTTTGTTTTCCTCGCCAATATATAAGGTTATCTTCATTTTTATTTTGTCAGTAGGGTATATTTTCAGAATGCCATTCAGGGCTTGTTTCCGCCGTCTCCAGACCAGATCTTGATGCTTTTTTTTTCAAACGCAGCTGCATACATTTTTGAAGCATTTTTTTTAAGTATGCAGATCATGTCTCTGAGGTCATTTCCTGCTTCCTCTCAGTCTTCACATGTTTGTGACCTTCACAGGAGTTACCAACATAAGAAGTGAAAAGCGTACATGCAGAATACATCTAATTATTTCATATGTGCTTACCACAATTCTGCTTCTGGCCTTTTGACATCTGGTCAAAGTATGGAAAAACTTTGGCTGCTATGTTGGTCCACTTCTCTGCTTTCTTACTGTTATTCTTGTATTTAGTTACATAGTACTTGAGGTTGAATAAAGACACAGGTCCATCAAGTTCAACCCATTGCATGTATCCATGTGATTCTGCATGTGTATGCGTGTGTATGAGCCCCCGTGTGTTCTTGTTCTTAGGAGTACCTTTACCCCTGAATGTTACGGTCTCTGAGGAAATTGTTCAAGCGCTTTTTGAAAGATTCAATACTTTCAGCTGAAATCACTGCATGTGGCAGTGAGTTCCAGACTCTAACCGCTCTGAGAAGATGCCCCTTGTGCTGAAATCTTTTCTCTACCAGTTTTAGGTGGTGGCCTCTGGTGTTTGTTATGGAGTTTACCGTAAAAGGTTTATGGCTGATGTTGCTATCACCATTGAACATTTTGTACATCTAAATCATATCCCCCCTTAGTCTCTTCACTTCCAGCGTGAGCATGTTTACATTTAGTAACCTTGTCTCATAGCTTTGGTCCTCCTTCCCCTTAATTAGTTTGGTTGCCCTTCTCTGGACTCTTTTTCCAGCTCAAGGACATCCTGTCTGTGTATTGGTGACCAAAACCGGACCGCATACTTCAGATGAGGCCGAACTAGCGATCTATAAATTGGTATAATTATAGATTTGTCTCTACAGAACATTCCCAGAACAAGACAGAACTCTGCTCACTTTGTTTACCTCAGCCTGGCATTGCAAGCTATTATTCAATCTGCGGTCTATAGGATTCGTTGTGGGTTTATAGGATCATAAAGCTCAGGACACTCCTGCACTTAGGTGACAAAACAGGCAGTGGCAATATGTTTGTCCACCATGTTGGATAGAACACAGGACAATGTCAAGGTCATCAATGTACAGCTAAAAACGCCCCTTTTCCAGAAGGAAGTGTCCACTGTTGATAAGGTCATCAAAAGTGAGAAAGAAAAACATTTTTTTTGGTGTGCCAGTGCTTTCCGGTGCGTTCGTACTCGTTTTGGCGCGTTCCAGACCATATAAAATTGTGCCTGCGGTACTTTTTTTAATGCACTGGTGGGAACTACAGCCCTAAATACCATAGGAAAACATTAGGGATGCATTTTTGGTGCGATTAAAAAAAAAATGTATGGTCTGGTGACGGTGGAAACAAGCCCTCAAACTGAATCTGTACTAAAGCGAGCCTGGTCGCGCAATGCACACCGCAAGCTTCGCTGAAAAGTTTGTTGTAGCACACAGGTACACATTGTCCCGCCTCTTCACACTTATTGGGTAAAACATGTCAGAGTGAAGAGGATGCATGGCGGGACGTGTACCTGTGTGCTACAACAAACTTTTCAACTAAGTTTGCGGTGTGTGACCGGACTTTTTTCTTTGAGTAACTGCTAATGGCGGAGAAAGATGGGTTCGGCCGATATGCACCCGCCATTCTCTATAGTCCTGCTGTGAAGGAGCGCTGATATTTGCCTATGGAAGTTAAATGTGAGCCTGAATAGTATGGGCCATAAGGTGCCAAAGTGTACCATAGCTTTACTGGAATCCTTGAATATCCCTGAATATCTTGTACAAATACAAACTTTCCTAAAGTCAGTATTTGCATAACCTTAGAAATGCACCCACCACCATCCCCATCCCCACCACCATCCCCATAAGTGCCTTCACCTAATGATTGGTTGCTCAGTCACACATTGTTTATTATGGGGATGGGGTTTGGAGTATGACATACAGTACCTTACCCATATACTCTAAACATTGGGTTGTATGTGGGGGCCCCAGTGGAGCATTATCAGAACAATTTAAGTTATATGAATGCATTTCATATACATTAATGTAACCTGATGATATTTAGAGTACATCTGCTGTAATAAAAAAGGTGGGAGAAACTCCATTCAAGATCCTGCCATAGATCAATGTATAGGAAAGGCGGCAATAAGCAAGACAAGCGGTGAAGACAAAGTGATGGAAATAACTGGAGAAGTAAGCAGGCTGTATCTTTTCCATAATAAATGGGGATCGTCACCTGTGAATAGCTGGATTTCTTGTGATTGAAATCAAGAATCGGCTGCATGATCCTTGAGCATATTTGCCTACATTTCCCTACAACAATGTTGGTCAGCCTACTTGATATGGGGGGGCCTCGTGTGCAGTCCCTAACATCGCCAAAGGGCTAATATTCAGTGAATGTTACTGAAGGCAACTTTTGTCA